ACCAGAGACAGGAGGCTCTGCCCAGCTCGGGGCCACCCGGTGCGGCCCGCACAGGCCTGAGCCCAGCCAGCCCCCAAGGGAGCTACAGAGGCAGGGCCGTGTCCACCTAGAACCCCGCTCGCCTCCTGGGGCGCGACCGGCTAGCGGGGTCTTTCCCCCTCCCGCCCCCATTCCTCCATTCGGGCAAAATGCCGGCTGGGCCAAGGGAGCGGAGTGAGCCAGGGCCCTGGAGCTGTGCCCCCCACCATGATACACACACGGGCTGCACCCCGCTGTGGGGTCTCGGCCCCCAGGCTGGGGAGCCCATGGAGGTGGCTGGTGGGGCTCAGGGGTGGGGACAGAGGTGCCCCCGACTACTCCGAGTGGAGACACGGAAACAGCGGGCGACTCCGGCCAAGGCTGGCGTCCACTGCCCCCGGGGCAGGCCTTCTCCCATTACGTCCCGTGCCTGCCCGGGGAAGGCGCATGGGGAGCCCTGCAGTGGGAGCCCCCCACGCAGAGGCTCCTGGGCCCGCATACAGGCTGGGAGGCAGCACCCATCTGCCACTGCCGGGGCCGTGTGGGTGTAATGACGGGGCGGAGACCATCACCTCCCGGGGCTTGGCCTTCCCAGATATCTGCCTGGGAGAGGCCCTGAACTCGGGGCTGGCGTCTGGGGGCGGGAGTCGGTGACTCACCCCTGGGGGGCGAGGGGGGCGGGGGGGAACACGAGCCAGACAGGACCTCCCCAACAGGCGCCAGGGCTGTGAGGGCTTCTCAGCTGGGGGACTTCCAGGGCACCCCAGGCCGGGACGGGGCCTCCTTCCTCCCCTCTCTCTGGGCTGGGACTACCCAGTGAGCCACTCCCGTGTGGCAGGAAGCCCCAGGCACGGCGTGGGGCGCGTGAGGGGGACACAGGGAAGGCTCATCACTGTTTTCGAGTGAGGGCGCCTCGTGGGGGATGTGGCAGATACAGGTCCCGGGTGCTGCCTGGGACTCCGGGTCTGGGGGGTGTGGGGCGCTGGCTGAGGCCTGGCCTGCATGGGGGGCCCTGGGCCGGCTCAGAGCTGGGCGCCCCGCTGGGTTCTGCCAAGGTCCCACCTGGTGGGGGTTGTTTCTGAGCCTGGTGTCACTGCTCGCTGGGCTGGGGAGGGGGACACTGGGCTACATCAGGAGGGTCAATGGCCACAGGCGGGCAGCAACAGGTTAGGAGCGACGGCTAGAGCGGGGGGTGAGGGGTGGAAGGGAGGGGGCTCAGCCCCTCACTCCCAATCACAGTCTCCAGGGCCTGAGCAGGGCAGTGGCTGGTGGGGGAGAAGGTGGGGTTTTGCTCCCTGGTGGCTCGGGGTGGAGGACGGAGTGCCGCGGGACTGGGGCAGGGTCCCCCAGATCAGGCTCCCCTCCTGCAGACCTGGCTAGGGGAGGAAGGAGACCTGGGTGGGGGTCCATGTGTGTGGGAAACTGGAAACTGGCTGCAAGATGACCACCCGGGGCACCACAGGGCATCGAGGTCCAGGAGCACGCAGGGCCCATGTCCCTGGTCCGCAGCTGACTCGGGGTGTCTGGGGGAAGTGCCTCCGGGGAACGCCCCTGGGATGGATGGGTTGAGGCACCCCTGCTCCCTGTCCAGCCACAGCCCCCCTCCAGCTCCCCCCGAGTAAAGCCCCCTGTAGACCAATTACAGTCCCGAAGGTGATGTCGCTCCCCGTATTCCTGCCCTCAGCACAGTGAACACCCAGCCTGGGGGTGGTGGCATCCTTCTGTGGACCTGGAGGTGGAACGGCCATAGCTCAAAGACTGCCAGGACCCAGGGACCCAGGGGTGTGTCCCCAGCTGCCACTGACACCGCCCCCTGTAGGGCGGGACACTGTGGCCGGGCACCCCGCACCTCCCCTCTGTTCCCCACCCAGGTCCTGCCCTGACTGCCCGGAACCAGGGAGCAGAACCACCTGGGCCCTTGGCTCCCTTAACTTCTTTCAGTGGTTAGAAATTGGGTTGAAGTAAAAGGGAAAAAAAAAATCTGCCTGCTAAAATAAGCAAATATTTTGGGGAAGGAGGGTGTGCCTTGCCGGGCTTGGTTACTATGGGAACAGCTCTGGATCCACTCCAAGAGGGAGAGAAGTTCCCCTGGACAGAGCAGTCTGGCTCTGGCTCGGGCCTGGAGGGCCCCCCAGGGCACAGGAAGCCACGGACACTTCTGGTCAGGGCCCCCAGCCCGCAGCTCGGTGCCTGCTCCCGGGGTCTCTCCATCCAGGGCGGAAGAAACCCCCGGTCTCCCCCGCTGCACTCCCCTTGGGGGACACGGGGGCATCCCATCACCAACCCAGACATCCCTCTCCCCGCCCCCACCCTGCTGGGCACCAGGCACCTGAGGAGCTGCCCGGGGTCTCATGCCCCCAGGCCGAGAAAGGACAGGCGCTGGGGCCCTGCGAATCCAGACAACAGCTCGGGCTGCCGTGGCCGCGGGCAGACGGTCGTGCCTGGTGGTGAGGGCCGGGCTGTGGGGGCCTCCCGGCTGGGCTCTGGCCTGCTGCACCGCACGAACGGGCCCAGGCGCTCCAACCTGCTTGGCAGACAGCCCACAAGCAGGAATTTTTCCACGGCAGAGGAATGGGGAGGGGGGGGCTGGGAGCTGTTCCCTCTCAGGCAAGTTGTGGAGCAGCGGGCTGGAGAGCACCCAGCTTCCCTCCTCTCTCACAAACACGCTGCCAGGCCTGCTCTGGGCCCTGTTTGTGCCGCTGTGGGGACAAGCCAGCTGAGGGGCAGGCCCGCGTGCTGGGGCCCCAGACCACATGCCCCAGCCCTCAGCGCCCACCCCCCTCACTGCACTCCAGGGGCCCAGCTTCTAGCCCCTTCCCAGCTGGGTAGCATCCACCCTGACAGTGTGAATCCTGCTTCCAGCCTCCCAGGACTCCTCCAGGACCCCCCCCCCTCTCACTCAGGACCCCCCTGGGGTCTCCCAGCAGCTGGCCAAGGCCGTGCAGGAAGGGACACAAGCATACCAGACCCGACCCCTGGCTGCGGGCAGCCGTGAGCTGAGTCCCCAGCACCAGCACAGGCTGGACTGGGATGACAGGCTTGGAGGCTGGTCGGTCAAGGGAGAAGTGGCCGGGGCAGGGGCTCCGGGGGGCAATAGCTGACACCCCGCAGAGCATGCATGGGAAGGGGGAGGCCTGGTTGGGAGCCCACAAGTTGGCCTGTCCACTCGACAAGACGGTGGCCTCACACCTCACACAATCCCAAGAGGCAGCTGCAACGAGTCACAGGGGGTCGAGAGATGCTTCAAGGGCAGGCACAACAGTGACAGGAGTGGCCCCTGGATCCTTTGAGCAATGCTTGGGAGACGCCCCCGCCCTCAAACCCCACCCTGCCAAACTCCAAGAACCAGACACCTTGCACTTTCCCCGGGGAAACTGCTCCAGGATAGCGCCAGTGGAGACAGAACACCGCCACGGGCATTCCCGTCCCAGCACCCACGTGCACTTCTCCTCAAGTTCCTGGTAAACCTACCTGACCTCCGAGACTCCCGGGGACAGAAGGGCCGGCAGCCCACAGGGGTACTTCTATGTACCCTTTCACCGCTCACGCGGAATATGAACCCAGCCAGAGTGGACCCGGGGATCTAGACCCACCATGGATCTGAACTAGATGACTCCAAGATTTCAAAAGCAGTATTTCTGCGAGGGTCAGGCCCTCAGCCCAGGTAACTCCTGGATGACAAGAAGCCAGGAAGCAGGGTGGTACAGACACTTCGAGGAGAGCAGGTTGGGAGCCCACTCAGTGGGCTTCTCCCTCTCTGTACCAGCCCCAGAGGCACGAACACACAAAGCTCTGTTGCACTAGATGAAAACTGGAAATTACCCCGGGGCACACTGGCAAGGGCTGGCAGATAAGCAAAGCTACATCCTTCAGCTGGAGTACTATACAGCAAGTAAAAAGAGGTGGCGAGTTCTAAGTCACTTTGCGACACACTCCAAAGTAGAAGTGACACGAGGCAAGGGCAGGAGCACCCGTGCTGGCCTGTGCAGGGCCGAGCATCTCAGAAGGGCCCGTGCAGCAGTAGGAACAGGGCAGAGCAGGAGAACAATCAGGTTGTGAAGCAGCCAGGTACCCCTCTCACTGCAAACGCCTCTTAATACATAGATAGCTCAGAGACAACCTAGTACTTGTCTAGAGGGGAAAGATGGGCAGGCACTGGGCTCCCCAGTTCTAAGATCACAGAGAAGAGCCACCGACCAGGAACCCCACCACTAGGCTGGCTCACATGGTCACAACCCCGGGGGCCAAGACCTGCTCCCTCCACCCCTGCTCAGGCCAGCCCCATCCATCAGCTTCCCTGCCTGGAACAGGGAAATCAGGGGAAACAGAAGTGGGATCTGGGGGGTCTGTGCCCTTGTGTTGAGCCCTTGCGGGGAGCAGGTTGGCCAAGGTGGTGGGGAACGATGAGGATCTGAGGGTGGGGAAGAGCAGAGGGTGCGACTTTTGTGGAGCAGAGCTGGGTCTGTGTGAGGTGGCCTCTGGGGCAGACGCAGACCTGGGGACAGAGGCAGGGTTCCCAGGGACAGGAGGGAACGGTGACCCGGCAGTGGGCCGGGTGCCAGCTAAGGGGAGCCTCTCCTACAGCACAGAACCCCGGTTCTGGAAGGGCCCCCAGAGCCCAGCCCCGGGCAAACTTTGTTTCTAAGCATTGGCTGCAGCCGCCTCAGAATCTCCCTGGGGTGGAGGGGGGCTGTCCTGGGGGGCCAGAGCATCTCCGAGAGCCTGCACGGCTCCACATGTCCCCCATGCCCATTCCCACCCCTGGGCGCCCAGGGGCAGTCCAGTGCCCAGTAGGGGCAGCAACCTGTCTCCCAGCAAGCCCGGCCCCACTCCCGCGCTGGCGCATCTCTGCCACGCACCCTGCCCGCCCCCTGCCGGTGTCCCGGGCACGCCCAGCCCGGGGGAGGGGGCACGTCCACTCGCGCCATCCAGGAAGGGCCCCGGCAGCGGGCAGTGTGGAAATCAATAAGGCAAGTACTCACGTTGAAGAAATTGGTCTTGTTTCTCTCGCAGAAGAGCCCCTGTGCCGGCATGTGCCGCAGCTGTTGCCACGGGATACCGCTGCCTAGCAACACGTCGCGGGCCCACTGGAGGTTCTGGGGAAGCAGAAGTAGGTTGGAAGTGAGTGTGTGGGCAGCTCACGGCGCCCACGGGGAAGCAGGCAGGCCCTCCTTCCCGGCCGCGCGGGCACCGTGGCGCCGAGCAGCTGCTGCAGACATCGATCCCGCTGCTCCCGGACGCAGGCTCTGACAGGCCACTGCAGGCTGCGTGTCCATGACGGCTGGCGGCCAGAACAGCTGACAAGAGGGCCTCCGGCGGGGCGCCCCTCCCGCCAAGCGGCCCTGCCAAGCTGCCGCGTGGACCCAGCACTAGCCTTCTACTGGGGCACCCCCGGTGCTCTGCCCTGACTGGTCACCGGGGTGCCACAGTGCTGCTCACTGGGGCCACCGATATGGCCAGCGTGGGCTCGGGGCAGTTGGGAGGGGAGTCTCTGTCCATGGCTGCAGCTGATGCTCTCTGGACAAGGGAGGACCTCGGGCCCAGTGGGTCTGCAGAGGCAGGAACAAGAGCCTGCTGGCACGGTGTGTGTGGGGGGACTTGGACGTGGTCCTCTCAGTGGAGGGTCTTTGCAGCGACCACAGAACAGCCCTTCCCGAGAGTAGCCCCAGACGCCCCCCAGTCAGGTCTGCACCATGGGGCTCACGCGAGCACCAGAGCAAAGTACCCTGTGGGCCATCATTGCCCACCTCGGACAGAGCCACTGGACAGGGCGGGGCTGGGCCACACACCCCTGCCCACAGCCCCCAGGCCGAGCACGGCTCTGCATGCCACCTCCACCCAGCTCCCCTCCGAGCCTCTCTCCTGCAGGCCAGAGCTCCCTCAGCTCACGCCTGTTTTTGCAGTGCCCCTCCCTGCCAGGCCGTGGGCATGCAACGGGTCTCTTGGCACCCACTTGGGCCAAGGTGCCCACCCCAGCCCTTTCGCTTACTGGCCTGGGCCTCACACTGACCCCTGTGCCCAGGGACATGCCATAGAGGCTGCTGTCAGGGCAGTGCACACAGGAAAGGGGTCCCCCAATCCCCAGAATGGAGTTGGGGGGTGCTTCCCCAACACCTGGGACCACTCCTGAGTGCCCGGTAGGCCGCATGTGTTGGTTGAAGCTTCCTGTCTGCTGAGCTCCGGAGCTGACTGAGGCTGTTTCCCACCACAGCAGCCAGGGGGCGCCCCAAGAGACCCACAGCACTGGGAGCTTCTCCCAGAAAGCTGGGGCCCAGGGAAGGGGCAGGGCTGCGGCACGCCCCCTCAGACCCCCAGCCCGACCACACCCCTCTGCTCCATACTCGCTAAGAGCCAATTCCTGGACCCATCCTCGGGCTTTTCGTTCAGAGGTGATGTGTTATGTCACATCCGGGACATCAGCGCTCTGGGCTCACCCGTGAGTCTGCGGGGTACCAGGGGCTGATGCTGGGGTTCTCATGCAGGTGCACATGCCCATTCTCAGCGCCATCTCTCCGGCCCTGTCCTGCTTCTGAGCTCCCACACACCAGGGCTGATCACCGGGGTGCCACAGTGCTGCTCCCTGGAGCCCCTGACATGGCCAGGTGGAGCACCAAGTCGCAGGTCAGCTGGAATGCCAACAGGAAGCGCCAGCATCCAGGCCAGACCCCTGGGCCTCTGAGGTAGTCAGTCCTGGGCCGAGCAGCCCCTCCTGAGAGAGGCGAGGGAGAGCATGCATGGAAAAGCTGCTTACAGAGGCAGGAGCAGGGGAAGCCAGGCACACTCGTGACAAGGAATGATGTCCAGCTAGAGCAGCTCAGACGGACAACTCGGGCACTAGATGTGGCCGGCGGGGAAGCAGGAGGCTGTGAGGCAGGGGCTAGGCATGCAGTGACCAGGAGCTAAGTGTGGCTGTGCCCTTCCTCATCTCCGTCCGAGTGACCCAAGGCCTGGCCTGAGACAAAAGACTCTTAATATCTGATCTGGGGTCCACGGGGGCATGTGGGAAGTGAGTGGGGTTCTCTTTATGGAGTGGCATGGGGAGCAAGGATGGGAGGAGAGTGTCCATGGCAGCCTGTCCACAGAGGCATGGGGGGACCCTGGACTGGAGGAGGGCCCAGTGAGTGCACTAGCCACCGCCCAGGCTTCTCCATCAGTCTCATGTGGAAGGTCCCTGAGGCCTGCGGGGAACTGGGCGATGGAGGGTGGAGACAGTGTCCAGACAGCTCTTGTGAAACCAGAGCCGGCTCCTTTCTGAGGCCAGAGGTGGGCACTGAACAAAGCCCGCTACCCAGAGTGGATGGACGGGCAGGGTGGTGGGAGACAGAACAAACTTCCCAGTGGCCCTGGGGGCCTGCTGCCATGGGCTGGGTGCAGAGTCGGATCACAGATCACAAAGACCCTGCTGGCACGGACCCGGTGCCTCCTGGAGTGGGCGATGGCCCTGGAATGATGGGGGTCACGAGTAGCCATGGGTGCACCTGAGGGGTGCTTTTGGTCATCTTGCCTAAGTGGGTGCTGAGTGGTTCTTCTGAAAAGGAGGCAAGAGGTCCAACGAGAAAGGGGTGGGACCATCGGAGCACCCACGCAGGAGGGCAGCCGGGCGGGGTGGGGGTGGCACTCACCGCCTTACCCCCAGGACTGCAGTGGGTGGGGCTTCACATCCACCTACAAACCAGCATCCCACAGGCCCTGAGGAGACAAGCCAGAACTTAGGCCTCCCCTGGGTGCCTCCACAGCCCCCTGTGGCCAGGACTTAAGGTACTTCCTGAGACCGATCCATCCCCCCCGGCCCCCGGCTGACCTTTTGTCCATCTCAGTCTTTCCCAATGTGTTCAGAGGTCCAGTGGGGGCAGAGTAACCCTGGGTGCAATAACGGGGACTATTGTGGCTTGCTTAAAGGAGGAGGACTTTCGGCAGGGGGCGGAGGGGGAAGTGAGTGACTTTTTCTGAAAAGATGGTGATAGTTCAAATAGATTTGGGAACCGCTGGCCTATCTGCTTTGAAGAAATGCCTATTCTGACCCTTTGTCTCTCTTTTTTAATGCATCATTAAGGGGCCAGAGAGGTAGGACAGCAGGTAGGGCATTGGCCTTGCACGCGGCCAACCCAGGCTGAATCCCTAGCATGGTCCCCGGGGCACCAAGAGGAGCCAACCCTGAGTACAGAGCCAGGAGTAACTCCTCAGCATTGCTGGGTGTGCCCCCTTCCCAAACAAACAAAAATGCATCATTTTATTTGTACACTCAAGAATGAGTTGGCTTTAAATCGCTGAATTATAAGAATTCTTTATTTAGACATCTCTTATCAAATATACAATCTATAAAAATAGCTCCCATTCTGTAGACTATCTTTTTATAGCATCTAGGTTATTACTCTTTAGTAACAACATATATTAGTATTTGCTAATATTTAGTGTTTGTTACTAGCACTTATAAACAGCATGAAAATACCGTTATTTATTTATAAAATTCTTTGGTTTGGGGGCCACACACAACGGTGACCAGGGCTCACTCCTGGCTCTACATTCAGAGATCACTTCTGGCGGGGCTGGGAGACCATCTGGGATGCCGGAGACTGAACCCAGGTCGGCTGCAAGCAAGGCAAGTGCTCTACCCTCTGTATAACTGCTCCATCCCCTAAAATGATGTGATGATGATCATTGTCATTTTGGTCATCCAAGCTTCTGGGGTCATCTCTAAGATGCCTCTGCTTAATACAAGGCTATGAACACTGACCCCTGTGCATCCCTCTACCGCCTTGGACGTAAGCTGAGCTCTGAAACACAAGCCTCTGATCCATTTGGGGCTCATTCTGAGCTCAGTGAGAGGCGGGTGGGCTGTCCAGCCATCTGACTGCAGTCTGAAGACCACTATCCCCTCCCACACTGAAGCAGCCTGGTGTCCTCACTGACCACTGGCCATTCCTGCATTCCCAACCCCACCGTGCTGGTCTCCGCAGCCCTCCCTGGGCCGGCCCCAGCCCGGTACTCTCTAGTCTCTGACTGCCGTGTACGACATGGAAAGGTCGGCTTTGTCTCATTGCCCTTCCGAAGCATTCGAGTCAGCGGTGCAGACATTCGCTGAGCTGTGCAGCCAACTTCCAGAACATTCTCATTATGCAGAACTGAAACTGTCTCCTTTTGACAACACCTCATTTACTCCCAGTCCCTGGCACCACCATCATATTTTTTTTTGTCTACAGGATTTTCACCACTTGAGGGAACTCAACAAGTGGCTGCACTTCGTCTCTGTCCTTTGTTGACTTCACTGAGCATGACAACCTTGAGGCCCCTCCTCACGCACTCGAGTGGTTCCTAAAGTGAAATACGGTGGAAGCAGCCTCCGGTGCCACTTGGGGGTGGGGGTGGGGCGAAGAAGGGCTTTCTGTTTGCTCACTTAAAGACAGAGTATGCATTTCCAGGGTGGTGCTAAGTAACTTATTTGGCCAAGAATTTATTTTTCTGTATTTTATTTATTTGGCCAACTAATGCAGCATACAAATAAATTTGGGAACCTCTTTGTAGCATGTATCAGTTTCTTTCACTAAGTTAGAGAGCTATTGGGGGAGGCCACACCGAGCAGTGCTTGGGGCCTACTCCCGATTCTGTGCTCAGGGATCACTCCTGATGGTGTTCAGGAGGAGCATATGTGCCGCCGTGAACTGAACTGGCGTCAACCACAAGCAAAGCAAGCGCCTTACTCCCTATAGTACCTCTTTCGCCCCTTATACTCTGGGGGATGGGGGGAGTGTCTCCCTAGCTGTGTCTGGGAACTCAGAAGTCGCTCCCTGGAATATCTGCCCCAGTGGGTGCTCAGGTCCAGTGATGCTGGGGTGATCCTGGCAGTGAAGAGGGTGTGGCCATCAGGGCTACAAGAGGGGGTACCTGGGAAGCGATGCTGGACCAAGGATCCAATTTGGGGTCTCAAGCATACCTAGCACAAACCTACCCTTTGGGTTCTCTCTAGGTCCAGTTACTTTCCCTTTTGGGGGAGGGGGCGCTCTCACATAACGCTCTGTGGATCTGGGGGCCACTCTGAGCGGTTCAATGCTCAGGCCCAGCAAAGTGACGTGACAGGGCCACTCTGGCAGCGCTTGGGGTCTGCAGGGGTACACAGGCCTGGCAGTACTTGGACTATGAGGGATGGGATCAAACTGGCATAAACTCCAGTCCTCTGAGCTGTTTCACTAACACCCCCCACACCCCAAATTAAAGACTAACAAACGACCACACAGTTTTGATAACCGCAGACTTGCAGTAAGTTTTCCACGTGGGAAGAATGATGCACAAACTCAATGCAAGAGTGTCCGGCTTTCGGGCTGCTTGTAAGCCTGTTCTTGGCCCCATGAGGGGAGTCGGGGTTCAGGTCCCCTAGGGAGTCAGAGACAGTGGGTGGGTCAGAGCGGGTACCCAGGACTCCGCCCTCTCCCTGGGCTCCATCAGCAAAGGTCTATCCATACGGGAGGCTGGTCCAGCCCAGCGCTCTCTCCTGCAGCTGCAGGCCACAATCCTGGGAAGAACTGTGCTCTCTGAGCCTGAGTGGCGTACCAGGGACCCATGATTATTGGGAAGGACCTTCCCTGTTTCCTTCAGCAGCTGAGCTTGAGGAGGGCCAGTGTGAACCTGGCTCTGGGGGTAGGGTCAGCCTGCCTGCACCTGCCCAGGAGGGTGTCGGGGGCAGGTCTCAGAGGCACACTGGGCTCTCAGAAGCCTGCTGAGGGGTGAGGAGCCTGACTGGGCAGAGGAGAGGGGGGACATCACAGAGCAGAGTATCTGAGCTGAGTGTCCCCGCGCTGAACCAGGAGCTATAGCCAGGAAAGGAGGCTTGCGAGCCCCCATCCCAGGCCTTCCTGCAGTCCCCAGAAGCTGAGCTCAACATGCACAGTGCCTTTTGGGTCCTTCCCTCTGCAGTGGAGCAGGCTCGGATCCCGGGGCTGCAGCGTTAGCTGGCCCGGGCGACCCAGGGGCCTCTCTGTACCCAAGCAGCCGGGGAAATGCCAGTGCCAAGCCCAGGGGCGGGTTTTATGAAGAAATGTGCTGCTGTTAAATATACACAGTGGGGAGTGTTTGTTACCAAACAGCTGTGTTTGGAAAGCGGTTGCTGCCTGTCAATTAACGGCTCTGCATGAGTCACGGAGCCCACTCGTGGTGTCCCCAGATCCAGGGAAAGCTGACACCGGGCCCTGGGGCAGCAGCAGGCTGCAGACAGGGCTGCACTTGGATCAGGCCCACCAAGGCACGAGGTGTTAACCTGCCGGGGGGTGAGGGAGTGACTGCCACTCAGCAAAGGTCTGGGAAGGAAGCCAGCGGGGGAGCCCCGGGAGCTGGTGGGCCCTGGCACAGCTGCTGGGGAAGAGCAGGGGCGTCTCTGGGAATCAAGAACAGCGCCCCGTCTCAGAAAACCTGGGGGGACGTGGCGGGGAATCCCATGAGGAAGGCAGCCGAGCAACCTCCACCCTGACCCCACGGACCATCAGATCTCACACTCACACACACGCGCGCGCGCACACACACACACACACACGCATGCATGCACAGAGCGGAAACAGACACAGGAAGGTCCTACGTGGGCATGTGCTCTCCTGCAAGCAGGGGCAGCCGAGCGGTCAGGCTAGCTGAGGATGCCTGGGGCACAGCTGCGCTGCCACTCAGCCCTGTATGCCCTTGATGTGTAGGGCGGACATGTCCCCCAGTGGCCAGACCCGAGGCCCTGGAGGCTCAGAGTGGAATAGCCCAAACATACAAGGTGGGGAAAAGGTGCCTGTGTACGGTCTCTGCCCAGAGCCGACAACTGCTCTAGACAGGCCCACGTGGAAAACTCCCCCAAACAGGCAGGGAGCGACACAGGGCATGGGAGAGCCCTCTGGATGCTCCTGCACATGCCGTCACGCAGACCGAAGTCGGGGAGGTGGGGGGAGGGGACTCCAGCCTCCTCCCGCCTCCTGCCACAGGGCCTGATCCCTCAGGGACACCGTGAACCCCAAGTCCAGCCTCAGCATCTGCCTCAAGAGATGACCTGCCACGGTGTGGGGACAGAGGGGCTCGGCCCGGTGGTGGTGGGGGGCGGGCTGCACAGCCGCCTGGGGGAGCCGTGGGGATCAGTTGGTGTCCTTCCGGTGGAGCCAGGGCTGGGGCAGCGCTGAGGGTCGGGGAGCCCCCAGGAGGGGGGCTCAGGAGAGCTGGCAGCCACCTGAACCCAGAGGTCCACGGCGGAGGGAGCACAGGCCGGGCACGGACTCAGCACCCACGCAGCCCCGGAAGGGCTCTCTGGAGGAGGCCCGGGGCACACCTGGGCCACGCGCTCACTTCCAAGGAGCAGCTCCCTCCCTGTGCGGCAGCAGTGCCAGGCACGCCACCGGCCACCGGGTCGCCGGGTCGCTGGCCGATGGCTCTGCACAATTCTCCAAAGAGCCCTCGGAGAAGTGCGGCACAGATTCCCATGAGCAGAGCCCTGACACTGCTGAGCGGGGGGCCAGCCAGGACGCCAAAGGCTGCCCTGCCGGTCCCCACCAGCCTGGCTCCCCGTGGTCCTTGCTTGGACCCTGGGGCCTGGCCCCCGACCACCACGTGCCTCTGCTCCCCCTCTCCTCCAGCCTGACTCCCCGTTCAGGGAGCCACGGCCACCCCGCACCCTGGGCTCCCCCTTCTCTTCTCCCCATCCGCACCACGGGCGGCTTCATTTGTTCACTGGCATGTCTGTGGCGCGGCTCCCCAGGGGCCGAGGCTGCACCCCAGGGCACCGTCTCCCAGGCCTCTAGTGTGAGGGAGGATGGAGGCAAAGACACGCCGCACGCCCAGCAGACGCTAAATGCCAGCGGGGGCGGGCTGGTTGGGAAGCCCCCGGAGCCCGCGCGCCCGGGGCACAGCTGCCGAGGATCGCTGTGTCATCTGCTTCCCCAAAGAAGTCGGGGGAGGCTGGCAGCGCCCTGCCCCCACTGCACAGGCTGTGAGGACGGCTGCGGCAGCTGCACCAGAGGCGCCCCAAGGCCATGGGGGGCACAAGGAGGCCTCTGGAGACCAGGCACGGCTGGGGAAGGCCCGGGAGCACAGGGGCAGGGCGTGGAGGGGGGCTGCCCGCGGGGTGGGGGAAAACAGGTGAGGGGCCACCCAGTGGAGGGAGACTTTGCTCTGGCCTCCCGGGTGGAGGGGGCCACTCCTTGGCCCTCCGCCTGAGCCCACAGCCAGTACCCGAGCCCATGGGCCTGCTGCCGGGGCGGCACCCACACGCTCTCGGCCCTCGTCCCTCGCTGCGACCCCTCTCCCCTGCACAGCTGCTCCCCTCCTGGGCGGCCCAGCCCTCCCTGCCAGCACCTTTGCAGCACCCATCTGCCTGTCCTGCCACCGCCCCAGGCAGCTCGAGTCAGCAGCGGCCGCCCACTCACCCGATGGGTCTTGCTGTAGGTGTAGAGAAAGGCCAGCCGGTACAGGCTCTTGTAGTGCTGGGGGAAGCGGCTGAGGCACAGGCGGAAGGAGGCGATGCACTGCTCGGTGAGGAACTGGCGTTGCTCCTCAGCGCCCGCGGGCAGCCCTTGAGGGAACGCAGCGGGCTCCCCTGGGGGGTCTCCTCTCTTCCGCCCATCCCACTGGGCAGGTGCAGCCACGGGGGCCCTGACAGGGACGCAGGCAGCGGCCGGGGGGGTCTGCACTAGGTCTCTGGCTGCCTTGTTCTGTGGCCCGGAAGCCTTCTGGGCTCTCCAAGGACTCGTCCGCTTTCCCTGTAGGGAGAAGGGAAAGGAAGAGCCCTCAGCTGAGGCCGGGTCCGCGCTGGTCTGCCCCGACCAGCGACGAGGCCCCAGGAGCCCACGGGCAACACTGGGGGGCACTGGGGCGGTCGACCCAGCAGACCCTTGGCCCCTGCCTCCCCGCCTCCTCCCAGGGGGTGGGGGTGCCCCTGAGGATGTGCAGAACCCTGGGCCCCTCCTGGGTGAGCGCAGGTGCGTGGAAAGCCACTGGGGACAGCCAAGCAAGGGACTGGCCGTGCCAGGCCACCTCCCAGCCTCCTCCCAGCTCAGTGCTCTCCAGGCCACCGCGGCCACTGCTGCACCTACGTGGGAGCCCTGAGCTCATGCGCAGGCCGCGGCCTCATAGGCGCCCGGCACTGACACCCAGGCTGTTGTGGGAGGGAAGGAAGGCGGGAGGGCGGGCAGCCGAGCCGGATCCAGCCTCGAGCAGGCCGAGAAGCCACCAGGCCCCAGCCGGAAGCCCATCTGCGTGCCCAGCCATGCGCGTTGCTGCCGCCCCTCCGAGCCCCGCAGCCAGACCGTGGGGGCTGTGGGCGCGGGCAAGGACCGAGGGCTCCAGGCCTCCCCTGCCAAGTGAAGGCAAACCCACGCCGAAGAGGCCCGGCCCTCAGCGCCCCTCCCGTGGGGGAATCTGCGTGGTCACTCCCGGGGCCCGGTGACAGCCACGCAGCTGAGCAGAGCGCTGGGGCCTCCCCATGGCCTGGCCGCTCCCCGCAGGCCTCTGGGAACATCTCGCTCCTGTTCCTCCCTCGCTGCTGTCGCTCCTTCTGGACACGCTCCCCGCCCCCCTCCCGCATGCACCCACTCTCTTCTCCTGCGTGACTCCTCAGTGTCGTGCTTCTTCCAGACCTCCCGCCCCCGCGCAGGCTTGCAGACACGCCATGTGCCCACCTGCCATGTGGATCTGATGGTGTGGGGCCCCGCCTGCCCGAGCCATGGGCCAAACCTCCCCTCACGGGAGCACAGGAAACCGCTGAGGGCCACCGCACCCCTCACTGCCTGATGAGGGCAGCGGGGGCCCCTGCTTTGGTCTGATCTATCTCTGTAGTCGAAGAAATATGCCAGGGGCTGGAGAGACAGACAGGAAATAAGGCCTTTGCCTTGCAGGCCTCATCCACATGCTGACCAGGAATGATCCTGAGCACTGCTGGGATGCTGGGAGCATCCCCAGAAGGGGAGGAGCAGCAGCAGCAAATGTACCGGATTCCCAGCAGGTTTCATTCAGAGGACACATTACCCAGGTGGTTCTGAAAACATTGGTCTGTGCAATGACTCGGGTGCAAAGGAAGAGGCATCCCTCCAGGGGGGCCCAGAGACAGCAGCAGGGGCTGTGACACAGCCCCACAGGGAGGAAGATGCTTCTGAGGGACTAAAGGCCCAAAGAGTCACCCAGAGAGGTGGAGGAGGCAGGTGTGAAGGCACACTGGGGCGACTGAAACGGGCAAGACCATTGCCCAAGGACTGGAGCAACCTGCCTCCACCCCGGGGACAGAGCAGCCTGACGGTGACCTGCCTCCACCCAGCACCCTCTGCCCCTCGGGATGTGTGGCACAGTGTTCCTGGGGCCAGGGACCCACAGATGCATCCTCAATCCACACCTAGGCCTGGGGCCAGCAGGCAAGGAGGGCTCCTGTGCCCACTGCCCGGGAGGCAGGTTGGCGACAGTGCTGCTGCTGTCAGAGGAGAGTAGAGCAGCTTGTGTCTGGGTGATAAGACTGTAGGGAGCACTTTTCCTCTCAAAAATAGAAGGGCCGGAGCGAGAGGATAGCAGGGGTGGGGTTTGCCTTGCGGTGGCTGACCCAAGTTCAGTCCCTGGCATCCCATATGTTTCCCCAAGCACCGCAGGAGTGATTCCAGAGTGCAGAGCCAGGAGTAACCCCTGAGCATTGCTGGGTGTGGCAGAAACAAAAAACAAAAGAGAACAAAAAATATCCATCTATATAAACCTTTGCTGTTGCTACAGTTGACACTGTTTCTGGGGGAGCTCTGAGGAGTGAGCACAGTAACCTCTTGACAGCTCGTTCCTCCACGGCCCTGACACTGAGCAGAGTGGACAGTGACAGGAACACGAGTCCCCAGGAACTCATAGGTGGGCCCAGGGCAGTGGCGGGGGGAGGGGCAAGTGGCATCCTGCTCCCTGGTGGCCCCCGTAACCAGCACAGACCCAGGGGCCCCCTAACTCTCCGCTGCCTGCCGCATGGACTGTGCTACCCATAGGCTGAGTCTGCACAGCCAAGCGGATGGGGCACATGTGTAGGGCATACCCCAGTGCTGGACACAGGCCCTTCCTCCCAAGTCTTGTGAAGTCTTGTGTGCATCCTACATCCCGCACCTGGGGGGGGGGGGGGGGGGGGGGGCGGGGCCGAAAGCTATGGGGAAGCCCTGGAAACAGGGCGCTGTTGGGGAGGTGAGGACGACCCATAGAACAGGGGCTCAGAGCACCTTGGCTGCTGCCTGATCTCCCGACACGGACAGGTGGGGCCTCGCGAAAGGAGCACATCCAAGGGCGCAGGAGGCTGCTTCCAGGCGCAGCGATGGCATGACTGGTCCTACCCTGCCCTCCCGATGCCAGCCCCACTCACCACCTGCTCACATGGTCAGCTGCAGAGAGAAAGGGCAGCAGAAGCTCAGACCAGCGCTCAGGCTCTCCTGGCCCAGCCCCCTGCCATGCCCACCACCCCCCCCCCCCCCCCCGCCCCGGCCAGGCCTCACAGAGACCATCAGCACCGCTGGGTAGCGCTGGGCATCACAGGCACTTTTCCGTCCCCCTGCATACCCCAGCGGGTGTGTTCTCCTTCTCCCTTGGTTGCAGGGGCTTGGCTTTGGGGAAGCTGCCACCTGCTACTTGGGAGGGCGCAGGGCCCTGGCAGGTCACTCCAGGCTGAGAGACTGCCTGGGAGGAGCGCTGGGCCACACCTATGTGTTACCAAACCCTGAACCCTGTCCTGCCTGTCTCCCAGCAAGCCCCACTGGAGACCGTGCCATGACTTTCAACAGGGGGCCTGGGGACCCCGCTGAAGAGCTGAGGTCACATCAGGCCTACAGAGTGCCCTCAACTGAAAAGCACATTCCGCCTAAAGGCCCGATGTGATTCAGTGAAAATAAATCACACTTGTGACCTCAGGATCCGAACACTGTTTTTATAACTATTTACGGGGGGCCATAAAAATAAGATCGTGCTCCTGCCTTGGGCATCGCTTCTCTGTCGCGTGGCCAGGGCGGGATGACAGCAGTGACAAGTGTCATTGCGCTGTGTGTGTGCTGTGTGCCAGGCCTGGGCAGAAGTTCCCCCAAGCACCTGGGTGAACTCTCACCCCCTGGGGGCTGGACCTCAGGGCCACTCCCGCCCTACAGGGAGAAGAGCAGCAGCCCCAAGTCCCAGAACTTTCCTACCGGAGGTAGGTCACAGGGCAGCATGTGGAGGCACAGAGTGGACCCCAAGTCAGGCCTGCATGCCTGTCCCAAAGCCCACACCCTTCAGCACTGCCCAGACTGCCGAGGGCCATCAAGGCAACTTAGCGCAGTCATTGGGACCTCCGTACCTCTATCCTCGGAGGCCGCCGGCAGGTCTTTACCGGCAGGTCCTGCTTGGGAACTGGCCACGGGCAGCCTCTTTTCTGCGTAGGGCTTCCGGAGGCCCTCCAGGGAGCTGGCCGGCTCGTTAAAGAAGTCCTGGGTGGAGCTGGAGTCGGAGAGTGCCACAGCCGTGCTGTCCTGGCTGCGCTCTGCGGGGAGAAGGAGGGAGAGAAGGCAGGCGCATGAACCCAGAGCGCCACCGGCGGAGGCCTGGGGAGGCGCCCTGCACAGGGCCTGAGCACGGCCCATCCAACGCTGCAAAGCCAGGCGCGTCCTGGAGACCACCAAGGCACTCACCGGAAGCGCCGAGGTCCAGGGTCCAGTCTCCTGGGATTCCCCCTACTGGCGGAGTCCTGGCCCAGCTTTGGTAATTTAGGGTGAGGGAAAGCCCTCAGTCCAAGGATCTGATATTTACCATGGAAAGACTCCCACATGCACCCAACAAGGTGCAGTGAGGCTGGAGTTGGGAAGAGATGCTCAGTAGCACACTGTTACCTGGCATTCACGTGTTAGATTGTATTTCTAGGTACTGGGCATAAATAAATGAGGTGAGTAAAAACTTAGCAAAAACTTGGACCAGGTGCTAATGGCAACTGGTGGGGTAGAACAGCATTTGCCAGGGGTGCCGGAAAGGTCCGGGGGTTGTAGCTGTCACTTCCAAAGAGCTGAGGAGCTGAGGTCACATCAGGCCTACAGGGGCAAGTAAGGGTGCAGATTATGCACTTTGATCCTACCATGGTATCTGGAATTCAATCTTAAAATGGTAAGACACACACAGCTGGAGTATTGTCAAGAGACCAAACAGTCAACAGAACCAGGGCCAGAGATGACCTAGATGTCAGATCCACCTGACGGGAAATTTGAAATGACTAAGAGTGACCTGACGCAGAAACAGTTACTGTGTTAATAAGCACTCTAGTGCACATGGTGGACACAAGCATGAAGACATGGGGAATTTCAGGATTAAGGTGGAGGTGATAAGAAAAAATGTGGACACTAAAAATTAAAGACACAGAACACCAACACGGAACTGTAGGTGCAGAGTTTGATAGTGAGGCTGCCAATTTAATAAAGGTGGAACATCAGAGAAAAAGAATGACTGGAATCGATGTACAACTGCTTACCCTGCTCTTCACTTGCCGTACTGTTTGTCCTTCTCACAGACTATATCACCAATTCAACGTTACTCTTATTGCTTATTGTTTGTCCCCCACAGCTAGAAACTTAGTACTGCTATTCGTCATGACCTTATTTCCCACTGAAATGAACCAAGTGCTAAGAATAAAGAGTGTTTCCCACGTTGAAAAAAAAATTAAAGACACAGTAACAGAAGAGTGCCTTTACTGGGATTCTTGATAGACTTCACGGGCCCCCTGAGTGGCACTGTTGGGGGACAGACTCCCCAGTGCTCTGGGAGAGGTGGGTGGGACTCCAGGCAAGCCTGCAGCCCTCGTGAGATGGCCCCAGCCTGAATCTCCAGGGTGAGGGCTCCACCTCTCTGAGGCTGCCTAGCCCTAGCCGGGAGAACCAGGTGGGTTGGCACAGAGGCCTGGGGCTCTAGAGGCTACCCAGGAGCACTACCCCAGTCCCAGGCTCACAGTTCAACCCCCAGGTCTGTCACTTGGGCCACACTTTGCAGAAACACTTGTCCACCACCACTCTCATCAACTCTCCTGACAGACATATGAGAATTGCAGGATGGGGAGAGTTGCACTCTCCCAGTGGCCACTCCTGCCCTGGGGCATGGACCCTGGCCCTGGCGTGGGCCTGGGGCTAGGCCCACACCCCGTACGCCTTCCCGCCACCTCTGTCCCATGCTGGGCAGTATACCTCGCCTCGAACGTTCGGGAAGCCCAGCTGGAGGGTTTCTCTGAGAACTGGCACGAGGCCCAGCGTGCTCACAGGCACCCAAGCTGTTGGGTTTGGGGCCCGAAGGAATCGCTAATCTGTGGGATCCTAGTTGTGAACACAGTGAAAGCCCAGGCTTGGCTCCCGCAGGCAGCTCTTTGCGCCCAGCACGCTCATGCCTCCTCCAAGCTGCTGCACCGCGAAGAACTCTCTGGCACGCTGCAACAGAGGCGGGAGGCCGGAGCCGAGGCTGTGGCGAGGCCGGTGTGGAGGAAAACAAGGGCAGCATTCCGCGGCCCTGGGGCTTCTCTTCGCTCGGAACAACAACTGTGGGTGGGGCCAATGGGGACCTACTTCTACCAACCTAGCACAGACCGGGTGAGGGGCAGGGTGCGGGGAAGCCAGGCAGCCCGCAGAGACGGTGGCTGTGGACCTGGGGCACTGGGGCTGCTCTAGGTGTGCGTGGATGCTAGTGGTGAACCCGGGCACTGAAAGGGCCCAGAGCAAGTCTCAGGCTGAGGTTCAGGACGGGAGGGAGCCGGGTCTAGGAGTCTCCAGGAGGCAATGTGGTGCACCAGCGCCCCCTGCAGGTGGGGACTGTGCACATGGAGGTGCCCTGGCTGGACCCGCAAACCCGTCCTCCTCAGGCTGGTGAAGTCAGCACATGCCTGGCAGAGTGGTGAAGGCTGCCACTGCAAACAGGAACCACCCATGGGGACCCACAAGGGCCAGGGCCAAGTTTCTCTCCAACCCTTTTGGGTCACGTATGTCTGAGAGGTTTGGCCTGGGCTATAACGAGTCCAGGTTTGGGGTCACGCCTGGTGGTGCTCAGGGCTTACTTCCTGTTTACGCCCACAGTGAAGTGATCTCAATTTTGCTGTTTTGTTTTGCTTCTGGGCCACACACATCAGGCAGTGCTCAGGGCTCCCTCCTTAGTTTGTGCTCAAGGTGAGGTCATCCCATTCTCGGCTCTGTGTTTGTGTTTGGGGGGCACACCGGCAGTGTCAGGGGTTATTCCTGGCGGAGCTTAGAGGACCATATGGGGAGCCAGGGGTCGAACATGGATTGGCACAAGCACAAGCACCCGATTTCCCGTATGATCCCTCTAGCCCACGACTCCAGTTTTAAACAAAACTAAGACAGAAAACAGTCCTCCAAGGTGCAGGGGGCTGCTGGGATGGGTGAAGGGGCCTAAAAGATACGAAGTTCCAGCTACAAACTAAGCCAGTCACGGAGGTGTGACACTCATCCCCACAGGGCTGAGGTCAGTGAAATGCTGCTGCGGACTTAAAGTCGCTGGGGCCGTCTCATCACAGTATATGCAGCGGCTGAGCCACCGTGCAGGGACAGCCGAGTCGGGAGTCACGCTGTGTGCGAGCTGACCTTCCATGATTTTTTAAAAGGTGCCAATATTTTGGTTCTGAGGTTACACCCAGCAGTGCTCGGTGTCAGCCCCTCCCCACTGCCAAAACCCCTGCTCACAATGACTAATTCCCGTGAAGTGCTAACTCTTGTCGTGGGAGTGCGCATTTGGACTGTGTCCCGGCTTTGACTCCCTTCCAGGGTGGGCATCGCTAGCCACCTGCTGCAAACCCTGCCCACCTGGAGTCCTGGCAACCTCGCCTCCAGGGCGGAACTCACAGGGACACCAGCACTCGAGCAGAGGTGGCAACGCGCAGGGAAAGGCCAGGCTGGTCCATGTGAGAGCGACTGTCCCCGGGCTCTCTACTCAGGCTGGCTCTGCGAGACGCCGCTGCACACCCTCAGCTCTGCAGGCCCGCCCGCGAGCATTTCAATGGTAAGACACCAGTTTCCTGTGTCTTCTCCCCTTGCTGCAGCAGACCAGAAACAGTTCTTTCAGGCCATCCTGTCCTTTCATTAGAAGCTTGAGGGAAGTGGTGTGGCCGTAAACCATGAGAACGGCAGTAATTGTGACCAGTAAATCCTGAAAAGATGACAAGTATTCTCCCAGGCAGAAAACAGGTTTCTAAGGTCAGCTGCTATGAGTAATCCCCGAACTGGACAATCCCTGCCCTTGAACACCCTCCCATGGGCCTGGAGGAGAGACCTGGGAGCCCAAAGAGGGGGATGGGTGGCCGCAATGACACGCCTGCAGAGGCGGGGCTCCCCCAGCACCACCAGGCACCGCCCTGCTGGGAACCCACCACTCCGAGTGGAGAAACACTTAGCCTTGCTGGGCCCCCCATGGCGGATCCCTCTGCTCCCCAAGCAAGGCATGACCTGGGCCAGGGAGGCCTCCAGGCAACGTTTGGTTCCCATGGCAGGCAGCAAGGCAGGCAGTCACCCCTGACGTAAGTGCTGGGGTGGGGGGTGGAGGCCAGGGGGAGCACGGTGTCTGGGAGTTGACTTCCATGGACAGACACCAGGACCCCTCTCCCTGCACTCTCCAGGCCAGAGGCCAGCAGGCTCCCTGCTTCCTTCCCCTCAGGTGCTCTTCCTCCTACCCTGGGTCACCCCAAGACCCAAAGGCCCACCCCTGCAGTCTCCAGCTTCCAGGTCTGCTCCCACTTCCACTTGCCCAACATGACTCTGGAGACCTCCTTGCTCGAGAAAGTCCTCCCACCCTCCAAACCCCGGAAACAGCCCATGGCACTCCCTCTTGGCTGCCTCAGGCCCCGGGCAGGGGGTTACAGATATAGTGTGTGTGTGTGTGTGTGTGTGTGTGTGTGTGTGTGTGTGTGATAGAGAGACAGCGCACCCTCTTTCATGCCCAGCACACAGCAGAGACCCAATAAATGCCATGACCAGCTAGGGCCTAAAGGTGATTTTTAAAAAGGCAAGAATGAAAGGACAGAGCTGGTGACATAATCCTGAGACAGCCTCCCTCCCCCAAAGACCACTTCCCACCCTAAGGGGAAACCGGGGGGGGGGGGGGGGAGGGGGCAGCTTGAATCCCCACTGGGGTCTCTTGCACCCAGGGAAGTTAGGTGGTTCCAGGAGCAGAGTCTGCCCACCACAAGCGGATCGGGCCCCTGGGGAAGGAGTGAGCAGAGACCCAGGCCTGACTGTCCCGTGCAGCCCCCACCCTGGGCCTGGCCACCAGGGGCATGGACACAGGGCCCCCTTCAGAGTGTCTTTGTGTGATTCCGGTGCATAACTTGCATTTTCACACACCTGCCCTCGGATGGATCCCTTGGTATCTTAGAGTCTGTTGTCTGTGTTACTTTTTGAAAACGAGAGAACAATGCAACGGAAATACAGAACTAAGCCACCTGCCGGCCAGCAGGAGGGAGGGAGGCCAGCACTGCATCAGCGTCTGGCCGGGCCGGGCAGACAGGCCGTGGGCAGAAGCCAAGCACATTAAACACACACTCTCTGGGTAACAGGACCAGCAGACGTGGAGGCGCCCCCAGCACAGGGGAAGCAGGGAGCCGGACTGTGGGCTAAGCATGCGGTCTGCGCCGTCCCTGGAAGCGAGCCGTGACAGGTGCAAGCAGGAGAGACAGAGCCTGGAGGACAGAGTGTGGGCAGGGTTAGGGGCAGCACGGGCAATATTGGTGGAGGCAGAGTGGGCGAGCAGGCGAGGATGAGCACAGACAAGACAGGCAACACGCAGTGACGGCATGGCAAGTGGGATGAACTCACACGGGGCTCCTGGGGACCCACGCAGCTGCCCAGGGAAGCCTGTTTGTGTTGTCACAGGGCCAGGTGGGCACCCTACCACCACGAACACCAGTCTCTCATCCCAGCTAGTCTTCTCTGACCCTCAGCTAGCTCTCTCCACCCCCTGTGATGGGCTACCCCAGCAAGGCCTCCCTTTCCCAGGAGGCGGGATCTGGCCTCAGGGTTGGTTTCAGTTCCTCGAACTGTGCCATTCACTGATCCGTGCCTCCTCCCTTCCACAGGACCCCCGGCAAGAACTGGGATGATCTCCAGCACCTGTCCCAGCACTACTGGGACACCCTGACGGCAGACCACTGGGCCAAGTCTGTAACCACACAAATCTGTCTGGCTCTGAAATTCCCAGGCGGCAAGGAGCTAGTGGGCCAGGAAGTCCCTAGCTCAGCCCCCAGGGTCCTGCACCCCAGGTTCCCAGTGGGAGCAAATGCACATGCATGCAGCCTCGGTGAGGGCTGCCCTCCGGGCCCTCGGCCCAGCTCACCCCAGACTAGCACCGACTGGCCCTCGGCAGGAGGGCAGCAAACAGGACAAGTCTTCAGGGTAATTTGAGGATGGGAGCCAGCTGATACACCCCAGGCATCTGCCCAAGGTCCAGAACAGAGCAAGCAGACTCCACGGTGAGAGGCCCCCCAAACACACACACATACATGCACATACACACACATACATGTACATACACAATTACACACACAAGTATGCACAGACACTGCATGTGGGCAAGGGCTGAGTCCCGCCCTGTGCTCGGACATGTGTGAGAGGCGATTACTGGGAGGCCCTAGAAGCTCACAAGCGCTCCCTGCGGGGCATTTTCCTGCTCGGGACACAGCAATACGGAAGCCTTCAGCACAGGATGGATGCTGAAAGGGCGGGCAGGGCAGAGCAGCCCCCTTCGGCTTGGTGGGTTGCTTCTGACAGCTTCAGGTGAAGGCCCCCAAGGGCCAGCGGGAAGTGACATTCCCAAGAGTGCTGACTTAGACAGTCGCCATGGCTGTCTGAACCAGGGTCACAGACAGCTGCAGGAAGCACTCAGCCCTCGGTGGGTGACCCAGCCAACAGGGGAGCAAGGATGGGGAGCAACTAGAAGCCAGCAAGTGGGAGCGACCAAAGACACTTGGAGCTACTGGTCTCAGCCCTGCTAATGCTGGTCCCCGTAAGAAGTGACCTCGGCAAGTGTCCATCCGTGGGAGAGGGGCAGACGGGAGGTAGGGTCCCTGCCCTGCTCCTGAGAACAGCCCTGTCTGATTGCAAATCACCCCGGACAAGTTCCACAGTGCACAGAGCCCAGGCCCAGGCTTGGCAGGGGCTGCCATGTCGGGACGCTGCTGCCCCTCTTCGGAGACTACCCAGTGGCTAAGAGAATCAGGCTGCAAGCTGAGGTTCTGGTCATTTTTGTTGTTTTATTTGGGGCCCACAGTACTCAGAGCTTATTCCTGGCTCTGTATTCAGGAATCACTCCTGGCAGGGCTTGGGGAACATGTGGGGTGCTGGGGATCGAACCCAGGTTGGACATGTGCAAGGCAAGCACCTTGCCCACTAGACTACTGCTCCAACCCTGCAAGCAGAGGTAAACAGCCCCTGACTGCTCAGGAGCCCCCCGATGCAGCACTGCCAGCTCCGATAGCCTGGGGATGTGGCTGGGGGTGCCTACAATGTGTGAGCGCCACCCCCTAATCCTTGTGCCAGTGATCCCTTTCAGAAAAGGATGTTTTAGTCACTCTGAGATGGACAGTCCTTGGTACTCCGGCTCCCTCTGAAAACTGCTGGAGCCCCGACCTTCATCTTGACACTTGGACAGGAGACAGCAGCGTCTTCCCTGGCTCTCTGCTGCCCCAGGGCCCTTGCATATACATGTGCTAGTGCAGAAGGCTGGGGAAGGTGCCAGCAACAACGGCCATGGCAGTCCTGTCTCTCAGCTCTGGCCTGCAGGGTGTCTGCACCAGTACGGAGCCTCAGCCTCGTGTGGCTCCGGGCTGCAGGCCACGAGCCTGAGGACAAAGGTCTGAGCCGCTGTGTCTCCTGAAGTGCAGCCCTCCCAGGGCGGGCCACACAGAAAGCAAATCCCAGGACAGAAACCTGCTTGCAGTGTGTTTCTTCAACATGCGCAGGAGCATCTGTTATGTGGAGTTAAAGAAGGGGGAAGGGCCTTCCCTGGGGCCCACTGCCTGCAGGGTCCAGGCGGGAGCCTGCGGCCAGCCCTGCCCTCCTGCCCTCCTGTCTCTGCTCCACACCGCACAGGCAGGGAGGTGCCCCAGCTGGGAGCGGGCGGCAGGGGAGGGGGTGGCACTCCTCGGCACACACTCAGACCCACAGCCTCACAACACACACCGCAGCCTCCCGGAGCCTGCTCTCAGCTGACTGCACGCCCGTGCTCCCGGGGCCCACGCAGAGCGGGGCTGGGCTACCCTAATCAGACACGCGACAAGTGCGTGAGAGCCCGGGATGTGTGTGTGTGTGTGGGGGGGGGTCCCTTCAGCCCAAGCGCTGCCTCCTCGGGCTCCACCCACCGGGCCCACTAAGTCCGCCATCGGGAATGACCCAGCAAACGCCGTCGCCTGCTTCTTGCTGGGAAGGAGAGGGAACATGAGGAAACCAAGCGACGAGGCCAGCATGCAAGCCTCCGGATGTTAGTAAGGAATGTGGTTGGCCAGTCGCCACTTGCCCCAGCCCGCGTGGGGCGGCCTCGCGTGAGGCCCTGGCTGAGCCCCGCCACCTCCCCACGACTGGGTGAAGGCGTCACCGAGCGGACGGCACAGGCACCGCCTGGGCGCAGGTGCCCCCGACAGCCTGGCCCACGGGCCTCCACAGCGTCTCCCCTGGAAATCAGGCGGAGACTGGAGGCGCCGCGCCACCCCCTGCCCTCCCCGCCCCTCCCCAGGGACTGGCTGGCAGGTGGCGACCCTGAGCATGTCTCGGGAGCACAGAATCACCGTGAGTCCATGAGGTTAATGAGCAGCCGCAACATTGCCCGTGTCACCCCAGACCCAGCACCCCCCTCACCAAAACAAAGCGCCTGGCTGCCCGAAGCGCCCTCCCGCGGGGCGTGCCGCCCGGGCTGCAGAGGGGAACAGGGACTGTACCGTCCGGCGTCGCCTGCTGCTGGGGTTTTTTACATTTGACGTAATCGTGGTCAATCGGAGTGGCTGTGTAAGGTGGGGATGTCAGACCTGGGCCAGAGGAGGAGGGGAGCGAGGCTCCGGGGCCCGGCAGCGTCCCAGCTGAAGAGTGGGAGTCCTCGTCCACCAGGCAGGCCTTCTCCCTGCGGGCAGAGGGCGGGGACGCGTCAGAGTCTGCATGACACGGGATCGGGCATCCGAAGGGTCCGGGCAGCCCTTCCCGCCGCCACATCTCCACCACCTCCCACAGGATGCTGAGACCCGACAGGTGTTCAGCTCGGAACAGAAGCGGAGAAAGTGTCTAGGCGACCGGAAACTCACAGACACAAGAATGTCTGTGGAAATGTTGAGGGAAAGGTTCGAAACACTCCGAATCTTCATGAAAACAGCACGACAGAAAACATGGCACTGTGCACCCTGAGTGACACCCAGCCACACACAGCCAGTGGCCACGAGAGGGCTGAGGAGACGGCGTCGTCTCCAGGACTGGCACTGCGGGAGGAGCAAATCCGTGGAATTATTCCCTCATGAGTTCAGTTACACCCTGTCATCTGCATGGGTGCACTATGCAGGGAAGCATGAGAAATGATGCCAGAAACTGAACTGCAGTTGAGGCTGGTTCTGGGGAGGGCGTGGACTGGGCCACACTCAGTCTGTATGGAGCTTTCTAGATGCATCTATATGCAGAGTTTCAAGTTCTTTTAGGGATCCACACTCAGCAGTGCTCGGGGACCACATGGTGTCGGGGCTTAAATCTGGGGCTCCTGCATGTGAAGCAAGACTGCAGCCCTTTGCTTATCTCCCAAGCCCTTGTTATCATTTTTTTTTTAAAGAATGATGATCGGGCTGGACCAATAGTACAGCGGGTAGGGCTTTTGCCTTGCATGCAGCCAACCCAGTTCGATCCCCAGCATCCCATATGGTCCCCCCAGTACTGCCAAGAGTAATCCTGAGTGCAGAGCCAGGAGTAACCCCTGAGCATCGCTGGGTATAATGCATAAAGGAAGGAAGGAAGGAAGGAAGGAAGGAAGGAAGGAAGGAAGGAAGGAGGGAAGGAAGATGATCAGTGGAAGACTGTGCCTTTGTGATCAAAAAACATGTATCAAGACCTCCTGGGCACACGGGGTCCCCGACAGGATCTGCCATTTGTGCCCATCCCCCCCTGCCCCCCACGCCATCGGGCCGCAAGGACAAGGCTGGCCAAGCAGAGAAGCAGAGCTGACATGAGCCAAGCTGAGTCTCCAGGACAGAGACACCAGGATACTAAAGAGTCTGAATCACAGGAAGAACACACAATCCAAAAGCCCAGGGGACTGTCCCAAGCCCTCTGAGGATATGACACTAGGGCCCCAAGCCACCAAACAGTGTGGCACTGGCAGAGGTGGTGTGTCCCTCTCAAGCTCCTCGGGAGAATGCACAGAAGAGCCCCAGGTCCGAGGGCCCCCTCGTGGGAGCAGGCCTCACCGCCAGCCACAGCCACAGAGGGAGGACTGGGACGGCACACTCAGTCTCCCCTTCAAGGATCAACAGAAACAGCTTGATTCAGCCTCCAGGGGGCTCGTGATGGGGGGCTGGAGAATTGACCCCCCCGTATGCTCAACAGTGCCCCCGGCGCCCGGCTCAGCTGTGAAGCTGTGGGGCAGGAATGTGGCACTCACTTTTCTGACGCTTTGGGCGTGTTCTTCTCCTCGCCCCTGGCAAAGGGCCCTTCAGCAGCCTCCTTCATGAAGCTGACCAGGACCTCAGCGCCGACGCCCGAGTCGGGCTTCCCCAGGAGCTTCAGGATGGAAGCATGGAGCCGGAAGTAGACCTAGGGGAAGGACCCAGGCGTGAGCAGACTCCCAGGGGCTGCGGGGCCCCTGGCCGAGCAGCTCCAGGCACAGGTCAGACCGGAAATGAGCCTCCGAACCGGCACCCCTACACGCTGCTCTCTGAGTGCGAGTTTTTAGCCCAATCAGCCTAGAACTCACCCAGAAACAAGCTGGCCGGTTAAAATACATCAAGCCCTCGATTAAAATGCATCGTGGTACTGGCATTCCAGCACCGATGTTTACCAGCAACCCAGGCGGTTGTGGTAGGTGAGTAGAGTCACAAGCCTCTGCTCTGCCCAGGGGTCAGCTGCCCACTACCGTGCCCACTGCAGTGCCCACCGCCCTCTCTGTGCCTCTTGCCCAACACCAGTAGAAAGGGTCCCCACAACTCTCTCCCATGGCTGCAGTCAGGAGTGTCTGCTCCGGTCCTAGCAGTGGACGAGCTCCGCGTGGCAGTGCAGGCTGAGCGGCCTTGCTGGCACTGTGGGCAGGGCTTCCTGCCACCCTCCACACTGACAAACGTGTGAGCGAGGGGCCCACAGCCCCCCAACCAGGGAAGTCGGGTCAGGCTCGGCCCAGGGCAGCCTGCCTCCTGTCACCCAGAGCCCTGAGCACACCCCACACATCACACCAGCACCACAAGTGACTCGGCTGGCATCCTCATGCGTCCGTGTCTGGCATACGGGCTCCAGCTGTGGCCAAGCTCTGGGGAGGGCCCCTGCCCCGCGTCACCTCCAGGGCCTCCATGGCCAGCTCGGGCGGGTTGTGGTAGTGGATCTTCTTGGGGTAGCGGGCGGCCTCCTCGTGCAGGTAGTGGCTGGCCTGCCTGTAGTGCAGGAGGTAGACGGCCGGCGGCTGCTGCTGCTTCTCGGCCACCTTGCCCAGCATGTAGTGGATGAGCCACTCCTCCTCGTCCCCGTCCCCTTCGCAGCGGGCCGCCGAGGTGAAGCAGTGCCGGGCGGTCTCCAGCATGCTGTCGCGCCGGCCTTCCATCTGCAAGGACGCGAGGCCACACCCGCTCAGGACTATGCCCGCTGGAACCAGCCCTGCTGACCTCCGGGTCGAGGAGCGACTGTCCGAGCCTGGCCCCGGCCAGGCCTGAGCGGGAGAAGGCAGGGGACCACGCCCAGCAGCCCCGCCACCGCCAAGGGGGAACCCCACAGAGGGGCTTCCTCCGTCTCCCAGCACTCCCAGGAGAGGGCTGACACCAGCCTCGCTCGGCTTGTTCCGGGTGCTGATCTGAACGGTCATCATGGCAGCCCCGGCCCCCAGGCACTTGGCTCTCCGGGGGACCTGTCTGGGGTCACACCGCCAGCCTGAGCACGGCTCCTCTTCCGTCTCGGGAAGACGAAGGGTCCCTAGTAAACACAGAGCTGGTGGCCCACGTCAGGGGGTGTTGCCAGCCCTGACTGAAGAAGCCCACCGGGACTCGGCATGCTCCACTGAGGGGACAGCGACCCTGGCGGCCAGCATCTTGCAACAACCGGGCCCTAGAGTCACCCCCAGTGGGCGGGGTTCTCGCTGCCCATAGCAGGGTGTGCGTGTTGGCAGGAGGCCAGGCCCAGGCTCCAAGCACAGGTGCAAGTACAAGTCAGACAACCGCGGCGCCTCTGCCCACCTGCTGTACCAGCTCGGGGGGCAGCTCGCTTCTCCACTGCTTCAGCTGGCGCGAGGCAAACGAGTGCAGAGCGTAGGACATGGTGCCGTACTCGATCCACAGGGACAGGTTGGAGCTGTCGATCTCCAGGGCCCGTCGGAAGCAGTTCAGGACCGGCGTGGCGTGCTTCCAGATGGGCCCATCACTCTTGAGCTCATTGGAGTTCAGCTTGTCCTGAATGCGGCTGGCCCGGGCCAGGGCCATGCCTGCCCAGGAATCAAACCTGTGGTGGTGACCAAAGCATCAACTGTTAGGGCCAGAGAGAAGGCATCTGGGGCTGGACCCCCATGTATCTCCTGGCCCTGGGGCTGGTGCTCACTGGTGGGCCCAGACCCACTCAATCAGGGGCACAGAGGCTAGAGGCAGGACCACATAAGCAAAGGTGGCGCTAATGTCATTGACGGGACCATGCACAGCTTGGTCCACTTCCTGTGACCTCCCCTCCACCCCAAGCCCAGTCCCCCCAACGAGGGGGCAGCACCCTCCCTTCACTGACATGGAGTGGGAGAAGGTGAGTATCATGCCCTGGGTACCCCATCACCTCCAGGGAGGTGAGCATGGTTCCTGCTGGAGCAAACCACAGGAGAACACACAGAGGGTCCTGGGAGAATTCCACAGCTGTAGAAATCATGTGAACGGGCAGCTCCCAGCCCCTCCACTCTCCCCGAGGGACCGCTGGCCCTTGAGGATGCCCAGGAAGACTGTGCCTCCACTGGCCTGGGCTCGTCTGGCATGGGTCAGCCCAGAGGACTGTCCTTTTGAGCCGAAGGCTGACCTTCTAGGTGTGGCAGCCATGAGGAGATACTCTTCCCAGTGAAGCCAACGGCCCTTCGGGGACAGCAGGCCCACAAGCAATATTCGAGGAAAAAGCAGCAGGAACGGAGGGGAGGTGGCAGCCTGCATCCCACATGGCAGCCAAGCCTTCAGCAGGGACACCCCCACCCCTGGAACAGGAAGGACCACCTCTGCCTGCAGTCACTTCTATCACTCTCCTCCAGCCCCCCAAACTGGAAAGCAATCCCCCTACAGTGGGGGAACAAGCGCACACAGCAACCAACTCCCCGGGGCCAGGAGCCAAAGAGGAGGCAGCACAGGGGCCGGGGAGGTGGCGCAAGGGGCTGCCCGCATGCCCTGGTACTGCGGAGGCCCCCAGAGCACAGAACCAGGAGAGCCCCTGGCAGCACTGGGTGCAGCTCACCAACAGCAGAAAGCCAGAGGCTCTGGCCATGGCCGGTGCCCTCCCACCTGAAGCCAGAGGCACTCCTACCCTCTCCTCAGGTTCCCGTGCCCCTCCCAGGGACTTCTGGAAAGACGCCGCTCTTCTGCCCTTCCTTACAGTGAAGACACCTTTCCTAGTAACCCTGATGCCACAGCACCTGCTCCCTGGCCTCCAGCTCTGGACAGACATGTGAGGATGGCCACCCCAGCCTTCTCTGAGGCAGCCAGGCCGGCCCCCAGCACTAACCGATTGGGGCAGATGCAGATGTCGTGCATGTAGAACTTGATGGCCTTGGACTGCTCCTTGTTTTTGAAGTGGTAGTCAGCCAGCAGGTAGTAGAGCTCGTTCACCACAGGAGGGGAGGGGTCTGCCCCTTCTGGGAGGCAGGGCGCCTGGTGGGTGAGGGCACAAGGCAGAACAGGCTCAGGTGTGGGCAGCGAGGCACATGTCCAGGGCCACTCCCTCCCAGCGACACGGCACAGGCGCTCAGGGCCTCCCGGCCACCACTACAGGGCCGGGCCAAGGTGGCAGGAGCCGCGCAGGAGCAGGTGGGCCAGAACCCCGCCCCTGCGGCCCCTACCTCAGCTAAGGTCCCCTCGATGTAGGCAGAGACTTTTTCGAGGCTCAGGGTTGGCTTCTCCGTGCGGGGCACGATAGTGGCGATCCTCTTCAAGAGGTTGGCCAAGTCAGCGGACACGGTGCTGGTCTTGTAACTGTCAAACTCAGGAAGGGTCTTGGGCTTAAAATAATCAAACATGAACAGGGCATCCTCCCATATAAGGTCCACCTTGAAAAGAAACAGAAGAGCAAATCAGAGTGCCGCCAGGGTAAAAGCACAGGGGAACATGCAAAGTGATGAAGAAGCCAGCCTCCACTAGCGAGACCAGACAAGCACTGTCACCGGCGTGTCCCTGGAACCCCTAACCCAAGTCTGTCCAAAAACAAGGAGCAGTCCAAGGCCATCAAGTTCTACATGCACGACATTTGCATCTGCCCCAATCGGTTAGTGCTGGGGGCCGGCCTGGCTGCCTCAGAGAAGGCTGGGGTGGCCATCCTCACGTGTCTGTCCAAGTGAACCAGCATGAGCCTGGTTGGTGTACAAGAAGTTGAGGGCTACCCTCAAGCCGTGTTGGGGGAGCCTGGGGGGAGCTCAATTGTGAGTGGTGCCCCGAGTGGGCCACTGACCCTCCCCCTGCCTCTGCCTGTCCAGGGCCAGGGTGGGTCTACATTTCAAGGGGGGTGAAAGCAGGCGCCGTGCCCACCAGAGCTTCCACTCAGGGGTTAGACTCTGCTAAGGGGGAGAATAGCAGACAGGACTGAGAAGCCTTGAGACAATGCCCCCGCTGGTGCCCCGAGAACCCAAACCACCACGAAGACCAATAACTGGTGGGGATCTCCCTGGCACAACCCCCTGACCAACAGAGGGTGCTGGGCTTGTAGGGAGTGCCCCAGGTCCCAGCTTCCAGTGGTGAAGGGACTGTGCCGGGGAGAAATTCCATAAATAACTTCCAAGGAATTGTAAATGTCCAAGTCTTCAAACTGGGAGAAAAAAAACCCATTTCCTGGAGATGGCACGTCTGAGTAGCCTACATTCTCAAAGGTGGTGTCTGCAAAGAAAGCCTGGCTGCGTTCCTGCTGCATCAGGGGACTTCTCTGCTTCTGACGCACCCCCTGCGGGGGCCCCGCTCCCCTGCATCCATCTTCTGGGGCCGGGCTCCCCTCACCTGCTGGGCGGAGTGCTCCTCCAAGTAGCGCGCCTTGCTCTTCTTGCTGGGGAAGCTGTAGAGGCAGTAGAAGCACTGCTCCAGGGCCGTCTCCAGCTCCTCCTTGTAGGGGTGCGTGTCCTCAGAGGCAGACGCAGCCAGCTCCTTCTGGAGCACCCTCACCTACAGCGGCAGGGGGAGAGGCCTGAGAAAAAGGCAGCTACTGTGGGGTCCCAGAACACCCACCTGTATCAGCTGTCACCTGGGGGAGGTCACGTCTATTTCCGAGATGGCCTGGCACAGCACTGCCCAAAGTGGGCAATACCACCCTGGGGGGCACTTTTAAAGGTGAGGACACTGGGGCAATTTCTGTTGGTTCAGTAGGTTTCTGGGGGCGGGCACCAGGTGCTCTTCTGAGAGGGGGCGTAGGGAGCCTCACTCGGAGCTGCTCTGGCAACTGTGGCAGAGGCCCTGAGGGACGTGCCAAGCTGCCTCCTTCCCTTCGCCCCCATCAATCTCTACCAGCTGCCTGGAGATGTGCCTTCTGGGAGCATCATTTATTTATTCAGCCATCTGTCTGCTCCCCCACATACACCGAGCACCCCCTTATTCTAGGCACAGTGCAAAAGAGTCTCTGCTTTGACGAGATGCAGATCGCAACGCAGGGGCAGGTAGTAAAACAAGCAGTTATCACATGAGAATGTGAGTCTCCGTGGGGCCAAGGAAGTCACTGGAACAGACAGTACTGACAAGTGCAAAGGACAGGAGGGATCCTGGGCACTGCGTTCCAGCCCACTCACAAGATACCTGGTGTGGCCCTTGTAAAATACATGATCAACCTCACTAATATGTGAATGAAAGCACTTTAGAATCAGGGACATGGTTCAGGGGCAGAGTGTCAGTCTTAGAATCCACGAATCCCTGAGTTTGATTCCTGGCACCTCAAAATTTAGTATCATGAAATACATCCTCACATTCAAATCACAGTAGGGTTGGTGGGACATGTGGGAATTACCCAACATTTAATATGAAGCTGGCCTAGTTAGGAGAGATGAAGTCATGAAATTTGCTTATAAGTGGACAGACATGGAGAGTATCATGCTAAGTGAAATGAGTCAAGAAAGAGAGGGACAGACATAGAAGGACTGCACTCATTTGTGGAATATAAGATAACATTAATGAGACTGACACCCAAGGACAGTAGACACAAGGGCCAGGAATACTGCTCCATAGTTGGAAGCCTGTCTCAGGAGCTGGGAGAAAGGCAGCTGGAATAGAGAAGGGATCACTAAGTCAATGATGGTTGGAGGGATTGGTCGGGAACAGAGGTGTATGCTGAAAACAGATAAAGAACCAAACATGATAACCTCTCAGTATCTGTATTGCAGACCATAATGTCCCAAACCAGAAAGAGTATGGGGGAAATTGTCTGCCATGGAGGCAGCGGGAGGGTGGGGAAGGGGGGGTACACTGGGGACATTGGTGGTGCAGAATGGGCACTGGTAGAGGGATGGGTGTTTGATAACTGCATGACTGAAATTTAAACACGAAAGCCTGTAACTGTATCTCATGGTGATTCAATAATAAAAAAATTAAAAAATAATAATATGAAGCTGGTTCAATGTTTTGGAGAACAATTCAAAAATATGGTTCTGAGAGATGATGATGTATGGCAAGAAGGCAAGGACGAGTCTGCTGGGCAGCCTGGAGGAGTGTGTGGAACAGATGATGCAGCGGGGCCCAGCCCTGCGCACACTGAGGAGGGGTCCGCAAGCCACGGTCACAACCAAGAGGAGGCTGCTGCAAGAGCATCTAAAGGCTGAGACCCAAACAGGGAAGCTGGGAGCCAGGAAATGAAACACAGCGGTACTCTGGCCGACCAGCGCTACTCCCTCAAACGACTGGTAAAACCTGGCAGCGAGAATTCATGCTCCATTAAGAAAGACGCACTCAGGAGAAAACTAGCAGTTCTGCCCCATCATCATCCCCTCATCCCACGCTTCTCTCTCACGCTGCAGAGGTAAGCGCTTCTCTCTCACGCTGCCCCTGCTCCCCCTTGGCACACGGCGAACGCCTGATGAAGGGGAGTCTGCGGAAAAACGGGGTCTGCACCCTCCGACTGGGAGAGGTAGGCAGAAGACCCGAGCTGCTGGCTTCTGGGCAGTAACACAGACACAACCTGGCACGACTCCTCTGCATACGGTCCCGGAGCATGGAGCTGACCAGGTAGGCACCCCAGCAGCCCCTGAAGCTCACAGGGTGGGACAGACCCTCGGCAGCTACAGCAGTAGCTGGAAACCACCTCAGACACCAACAGTGTCCAGGGCCCTAAGCCAGACCAATCCAGCACAAGCACTCTGCAAACTGTTGAGCACTGCACACAAGGGGCTCTCCCTGCCGCTGGGAGCGTCTCAGCTGTTCAATTTAACCTGTAGGCATCAAGCAACTTCTACGCGCGAGTGGCTGTGCTACACTGACTAAAACTAAGAAAAATAAATGCTGGCCTTCATGGAAGCTACACTTTGATGCAGAAGAGACACAAAAAAGAATCAATGCCGCAGCATGCTAAGAGACTAGAGACGGCTCCAGTTGTAGAGAAGACACGCTTGCTGAGAAATAAGAATAGAGCCGAGGTCACAAGCCTTTCCTTCAAATGCCAGGTGGCAGATATTTTAGGTTTCACAGACCAAGTGGGCTCAAACAAAACTGCCACTGGACTGCAAAAGCAGTGGGCGGTGTGCAAATGAACGGGTGAAGCTATTCTCCATGAAAATGCTTATCAACAGACAAGACAGGCTCATCGGGGCAGGGGGCGCCTCCCAAATCTCTCTGTAACCTCAATGGACAAATGGCCCTGCACTCAACAGTGGGACCTGGGGATAGGCATCATGCTACTTATCCCCAGTAAATCCAAGTACTCCCGGCTGGCGGGAGAGAGGAAGCCACTTGTAAGCACTGCTGAGCGCTGAACGTGAGAGCTAGTGCCTGAGCAGTTATAACCTGGTATGGGAAACAGCACTTGGCAAACAGGATTCAATAGAAAGTGGTGGTGAAGGCAGTTATTCTAGAACTATTCTGGAGGGTGGGGATGTAGCTCAGAACTAGAGCACTTGCCTTATCCTGGTTTGAACCCCAGCACCGCAATAAATAATAAAATAAAATTCTCATGAAGCGCTGGTTCCATCAGTATGACACATGACTCGGTAACATGGGTCCTAAATATAAATCCAAAAGGAGCTCAAGACAAGGCCCAGCGCATACCCAACCACCCCCAGCCTCAGGAGCACCAGGAAATCGATCCAGCTCAGGCTTTCTGGCAGGAATCACAAACCAGCATGAGAGCATGGGGGCCTGAGTCCAGGAAGAGGCCGAGGCAGCCCAGAGGATCACGCCCCTGTGCACGCCCTTGCCCCAGCACCCCGGCCCTGACTCAGTGGGCAGCGCTTACGTAGAATCGCAGCAGAGCCCCGTCTGAATTGCAGCACCAGCACCTCCTGCCCAGGTACTCGTGGGCGGTGTTGAGCAGCATGAGGGAGGACGGGAGCATGGGCGTCTCGGACATCACTGGGGAAAGACCAGATAGACACACGCAGATTTACCGTGCAGTCAAGGGCTGGCGTCTCTGGCTCAAGCTCAGAGGTCATGGATTCTCTTCCCCTTTCTATCTTTCTTTCTTTTAAGCGCTGGCCTTGCTGAAGCAATGTATCTTATCAAAACCTAATTCAAATCAGGCTGGAGAAATACTACTGGGGTTAAAGGGTTTGCCTCACGTGCAGCAGAAACTGGTTCAAGGTACCTGGTACCACACATGGTCCCCTGAGCACTGCCAGGGGTCACTCCTGAGCACAGAGCCAGGAATGGCTCCTGAGCACTGTACCCATTATACATCTACAGCAACCTACCTGCTGTACTATCATCCAGGGCCCCATATGCCACTTCTAAAATGAAAGTTTCTCGGGGCCAGGGCTGGAGCGATAGCACAGCGGGTAAGGCATTTGCCTTGCAAGTGGCCAATATGGCCAACCTGAGTTCGATTCCTCCGCCCCTCTCGAAGAGCCCAGCAAGCTACCGAGAGTATTTCGCCTGCGCGGCAAAGCCTGGCAAGCTACCCATGAAGTATTCAATATGCCAAACACAGTAACAACAAGTCTCACAATGGAGATGTTACTGGGCCCATTCGAGCAAATCGATGAACAACGGGAGGACCATGACCGTGACCTCGGGGCCAGAGAGACAACATAGGGGCTAAGGTACTGTTTGCATGTGGACAACCCTGGCTCAATCCTCAGGACCACCTGGTCCCCCAAGCATCCTGGGTACAGACCTAGAGCCCTTCAAGCACTGCCAGGGTGGCCTGTGTAATCCCCGGCACCCCTGCAGGGCCCGAGCAGCACCACACCCTTGGATACCCATGCTGAACCATCAGTCCAGTTGACCGAGAATGGCTGGGAGAGGCCCATGGCTCCCTGAGTATGGCTTGTGAAGCTCCAGAAAAAAATTATTTTTTATGTACATATCCAGCCAGCAGTGTGGGGGGTGACAGGGACTGAGCCTTGTCTCCCTGGGCAATGCACGTGCTCCAGTCCATTCAGTCGTCTCTCCTGTCTCAAAGTTTCTTTTTTGTTGTTGGTTTTGGTTTTTTTTTTTGTTTCGGGTCACACCCAGCAGTGCTCTGGCTCTCTGCTCAGGGACCACTCCTGGTGGGGCCCAGGGGATTAGACGGAGTGCCAGGGATCAAACCCCGGGTCGGCTGCATGCAAGGTAAGCACCCTACCCACTGTTCTGTCTCTCCAGCTCCGTCAAAGATTCTTATGTTCAGATCTATTCACATACTATAAAAGAAAAAAAGAACAACTAAATTTCAATTAAATGCTTGTTCACCATCAGAATTATTTTTAGATTCTTGTAGCTCCTCTGTTGTTTTTGAACCTCCAGGCCATAATGCGCTAGTGGACTAGTAACTAAGATTTTTTTTTCTTTTGTAACTGAGATTTTTTTTTAAGAGGACTGGAATGGAACAGGTCAGAACAGAAAATCCCAGTGGGGATCATACTCCTAGAACGAGGACTCTTTCCTGAAATGTGTTTCATGCTTTTTACTTTCAGTCAAAAAGGTATCAAAAGCACTGGTTTAAATAAAATCATTATCAAGCTCGAGAGATTATGATTTTTGAGTCTTTTAGATTGGTTTCTAGTTTCAAAGGATGAGCTACACAATCAGGGAAAGCCTTGTAGTGGTCCCCTGCCTCCCATTTGCAACTTGGCTGTGCATATTATTCATCACGCACTTCAAGGTTTATAACGGTTACATTCTGCTCTGCAGCTGCAATTAGCCTCTTTGCTCTCTTTTGGTTCCAGCTTTAAACCGACTTGGTGTGGCCTCATAAATTCTTTCCCATGGCTTCTCCATCCTGAGGAATTTCCTTCTGACTCATGTTGGCTGGCTGACTTCATCCTGCAGGAGTGTTCTAAGCTGCACTAAGAGGAGCAGGAACGCCTGTTTGCAAATGCCTGTGACCACTGAGACGACTTGATTAGATACCTCGGATGGTGCTTTCTTTCCTACACAGGAGAACGAGGCATCAGCCCCAGGTGCTGCTGTGGAGACATCTGGAATGCGTCTCATTTCATTATGCAGGAAGAGAAGTATTTGATTTTTCAGGTTAGATGCTTAAAAGAAACCCTTTGTTTTCTTATTTTGGATCATACTCACCTGTGCTATTTCTGGCTCTATACTCAGGAATAAACTGGCAGCGACCCCTGACAGTGCCAGACGATGCTGGACACTGAACCAGGGTCGGCCACATGCACAGCAACTGCCTCAGCTCCTATAATAGCTCCCCAGGCCCAGAAACCCTTTATTTATTTATTTATTTACTTATTTATTTTTCTTTTTGGGTCACACCCAGCGATACTCAGGGGTTACTTCTGGCTCTGCACTCAGGAATTACTCCTGGAGGTGCTCAGGGGACCAGATGGGATGCTGGGAATCGAATCCGGGTCAGCCACATGCAAGGCAAATGCCCTACCCACTGTGCTATCGCTCCAGCCTGAAACCTTTTATTTTTAAATAAAACTTTTAACCAGGGTACATCATGACATTTATTGATTTTTCACTACACTATATGCTTTGATCACAGATTTTGTTCTACTGTATTAAAAAAAAAAAAGTTCAACATTTGACACCGAGTTGGCTGTTCCTCCTGTCTCACTGTTGGTGTCCTTCTAGCATTTACGGTCACATTGGACTTCATGCGTAACTCAGAACCGCCCTTTGAGACAAGTGCCACTGTTCCCCATGTGCATATAGGGATGGAGGCAGGAGATGGTACGACCTGCCTAAGGTCAGAGCCAGGAAGTGGCTGTGGGACTCAGAGCCTGTCCTCCAGCCTTCCCCATCGCAGGATCACTGGCTCACCCCCACGAGGGGTGCTAGGGACAGGGGCCAGGTGCACAGTCAAGCACAGGGCTGCAGGGAACATTCTGGAGCAGTGTCAATACTGTGTGGAAGCCCTCAGCATCCGTCATCCCTCCCAGGCTGCCACCGGAAGCGACGTGAGGCACATCCCTCACTGTCTCCCGGTCATGGCACAATGAGCCCCCCAAGGGGGCACCTGCCTCTGTGCAAGCACCACATCATGCAAATTCTGCCAGTCACAAGGTAGGCTGCAGCCCTGGGGCACGTGCAGAAGGCAAGGACAAGCAGGTCAGGGGCCCCCGCACCCCCACCCCCTGCCACCTTCGTCCACAGGGTTCTGAAGCTGTTGCTGGTGGCACAGGGAGCGGAAGGTGTCCTCTTCCTGCCAGATGATCCGGTGCAGGATGATCCAGGGCAGCACGGAGGAGACGTGGGGCTCCTTGGGCTCCTCCTGCACCGCCATGCTGCAGTCGATGACCTGGGAGGTGGGACGCACGGCATCACTGCAGGGCTGCTGCACCGTTCCACCCTCTGGGAAGGCCGGGCAGGGCAGGGGTGTGGTGGGTGCGGCTGGGGCCCAGTGGGCATAGCAGGGGGGTCAGGGGCACGGAGCCTTCCCAGCCCCAAACATTGGGGCCCAGTGTGTCATCGCAGAGTCCCACAGCCCCATCAAGAGCTCCCCCTGCGTCAGAGGAGCCAGCTCTGAGCACCCTCCTTCCTGCCACATGCAGCTGCCGACACCCTCAACCAGCTGCAGGTGGGTCCTCAGACGGACGAGGGCTTCTACGGTCACTAGGGCAGTGACGCTCACGGGGAGCAAAGTCAGAGACAGGCCACGGAAGAGCTAAGGACTGATACGGTCGCAGCAAAGGCCCAGAGAGGTCAGCAGTGGGTGACAAAGGCAGAGGAGCATGCTGTGGCGAGGGCCCTGGGCTGGGAGGGGAACGGGCAAAGACAGAGGCAGGAGTGCCCTGGAGGGGATGTGCAGGGCGGAGGTGAAGAGGAGCAGCCCGCATCTTCCTTCGGGCAGCTGGCTGTGCAGGGGGGGTGAGGCAGTGGAGCGGCCGCGGCACATAATGGAGGTGCAATGCCACACTGGCCGAGATGGCCAAGGCCTGAACTAAGGCGAGGTGGGGAGAAATGCCAGGCAGAATGTTAAGGTCACAGATCTGGCGGGACTTGTGAATGGCCTGAGGGTGGGGGGAGGGGGGACCAGAGGAGAGCCCAGGAAGCCTGCCTGCTTGCAGGGCCTCGGGCCAACTCTGATGCCAGGATGATGGGGTGCTGGAGCGGCCTGGGCTGAGGACCTGAGGACCCGGCTCTGCCTCCCGCGCTCTGCCGGTGGGCCAGGTACTGCTGCCACAAGCCTCCCTGGCACAGATGGTCCAGAAGAACCCCGGGGTTGTGAGGGCTACCCCACCTCGGACACCAGCCCAACCAGCTCTGGGAAGTTTTGCAGGCTGCGAGGCCCCGCCTCCTTCACCAGCCAGAGAAGCCAAGGCACCCTGCACGGGCTCAGAACACCCAGGGGCACCTGGAGAGCGGCCTCTGCTGGGCAGGGCGGGATGAAGTGGGACGGGGCGGGGCACTACCTGGATGAGGTTGCTGGTGAGCCGGACCAGGCCGGAGGCTGAGGACGACTCCTTAAGGATGTTGCCGCTGCCGCCGGCCGACAGCGCCTGCTCGATCCCCAGCAGCAGCTGCGTCACGGTCGTGACCCACTCCTCCTTGGCCGCCGCCTCGCTCGCGTTCACCATCTGCTGCACCGCCTCGTGCAGGGCAACGTCGGAGCACTCAAAACACTGGCGGTAGTCCTTGAGGCGGAGCAGGGAGTCCTGAGGCAGGCAGGAGCAGGAGGAGGGGGCACTGAGTGGGGGCGGTGGAGCCACTCATACACACACACACACACACACACACACACACACACACACACACACACACACTCATATTTTCCTCTAGAGGATGTGGATTACACGCACACACACACCCCTGCCCAGGACAACGGTGTCAGGACCAAAGGCGACACCCTTCCTCCCACACAGCCCGCAAACCATCAAGGCGAGGCTGCCAGACGCCACCAGCTCTCCCTGGGCTCACGTGCCCTGGGCCACCAGGGCGGTGGCTCCAGAGGGTCTTCTCAGGGGAGGGCGGGCAGCCGGGACAGCGTATGGCCAAGGGAGGCTGAGCAGCGGCCGCAGCAGGGGCTATGGAGAAGGCAGCGATGCAGTCATGCCCCAGGCCCCCTCCTCCTGGGCACTGAGCCCTCTGAGCTGGGCCACCGCCAGGCCCATGCTCAGTGCTGCGCCCTGACTGGGAGGAACCCTGGGCCCCAGGCACTGGCTGATTTGGGGAGTCTAAATCTTTTCGGGGGGGGGAGGTCACTGTTCCCTGTGAGATCACTTTCCTGTGGACACAGAACACAACCTTGAAACATCCTGCCTCTCGGCGTAACTCACCACTGAGCTGGGGTGGCTTCACACACCCCAGCTTGCCTGAATTCACACACCCCCTGTGGTGCTCTTGGAGCAGCTAGAAGCCCTGCTGCCCCATGGACTCTGCCCTTCCTGCAGCCAGACCTGCTGGTGCTTCTGTCCCCTCTCTACGGAATGCCCACTCTCTTAGGGATATGCTGCTACAACCTGTGACCACAGCAAAATCACCCCCTCTGGGGGGCAGCACACGCCCAGCTCACTCCAGGCTCTGCACTCAGAGATCACTCGGTGTTCAGAGAACTACAGGAAACACCAGGGATCGAACCCACAGAGTCGCATGCAAAGTAAATGCCCTCGCTGCTGTACTATCACTCGGCTTTAACCTGACTTTCTTCAGTGTGAACTGCAGAGGCATCCAAGAGCCATGAGAGGCGGACACAGAACCCAAGGCGCAGGCTGACGCCTCTGATCGAAGGCCATCACCCAGCAGGCTGAGGGTGTTTGCTGGCAGGGTGGAAACAGTGGCTACAGCGCAGCCAGAGCAGGTGCGTGGGACGGCGCATGCCCACGTCTACTACCGTGACTCCTTACACTGAGCAGATACTTGAGCCACTCTGACAGCCACACAACAGTTATCTAAAGGCGATTTGGAAAAAAGAAACGGACGAATGAAGAAACAAGTGAAAGGATGACTGCTTCCTCTTCCCTCCTCCTCTGCCATGCCGGATTCTGAATGCAGGGACCCACACTCCTAGGCCCCAGGTGTCCTCCAGGCCTGACCGCTACCTTCTGGCTGGCTGGCATCTTCCCAGGGGCTGAGTAATGGCTTGGGTCTGGGACCGGGGAGGTGCTCCTAGGGTTGGAGCCTCAGTTCGAGCCCCACCTAAAGGGAGCAGCCCCCGAGCTGCTGCATAGTCCCAAAACTCTACCAGGAGAAAAGGAAACTGTCACTCCCACTCTTTTCTGTGGGGTTCTCAAGGGCGACCTCAGAGCCCCCGGGAACAGACCTGTGCTCCCAGGAATGCGTACCTGCAGCAGCAGCAGCTGAGCGGGCCGCTCGGGGATGGACGTCATGAACTCCAGGTGCTTGGCCCGGTCGAAGCCACTGGTGCACAAGGTGGGGCGCAGCAGGTGCACCACGGCCTTGTAGTCACCCGCCTCGTAGAGCCGCTGAATCTCCTCCAGGGACTGGCACCGCTCCAGGGACTTCAAGTTCTTATCAATCTGCAAAAGGCCCCGAAATGCTGCCTGACCATCCCCAGAACTGGCCTGAGTTGGCCCCTCTCAGACCCTGAGCAGGAACAGAGAATCTGACTCCCCTGGATACAGCAGCATCTATGGCAAATTAATACTTCATGTGTAAAGTGTTTCCATGAATGTTGTGGCACTTAGCTATTTTTAAACAGAGAGAGAGAGAGAGAGAGAGAGAGAGAGAGACTAGAACTAGGAATGTGGCTCAGTGACAGAGTGAATGCTTACTCCTGCATGTGTAAGGGTCTGGGTCCAATTTTTTTCCCCAGGAAAAAACTAAAATAAAATATATCTTCTCCAGACCCCTGAAGAGGGGCTAGAGAGAATACAGTGGGGAGGGCGCTGGTCTTGGATGCAGCCGACCAGGTTCAATCCCCAGCATCCCATAAAGTCCCCTGAGCACTGCCAAGAATAAATCAGAGCTAAGAGTAACCACTGAGCACCGCCAGTGTGGCCCCCAAACAAAGAAACAAAAAATATATATACTGAAGGAAAAAATAATCTAAACTTCTCCAGAAGCAGAGAAATTTCAAAAAGGAGAACTAGACTAGCTGACCAGCCTCGTGGATGGGTCATCCAAGCAGGCTGCACAACCATGGAGTATCTGGCCACTAGAGATGGAGTGAGTTCTGGGCACAGGACCTCACAGGAGAGTGTCAGTGGCTCTGGGGACCAGGCACTGCCCTTGCCCAGAACAACTCTGCTGATGGAGGCGCCACTGGCCATGGAACCATCATGGACCTGCACGGGTCTGTTCCAGGGAGAGCTTGCCCAGAACCCAAGAAAGTCGGAGTTGTGCCCTCACGGTCGACTCATGCCCCTGCCAGCCAGTCCGGTGGGCTTCTGCAGGACTTTCCCTCCAGTTCCACCAGGGGTGCTGCTGTGTGTGTGATCCAGAGGGCAGAGACTCTCAAGCCTATCTCGCGAGCCGGGGGCCTGCCTGCAAGTCCTCAAGGGTTCCTGTAGGCCGGAGTGGCATGTCTCCAGGAAGGAGTTCTGATCGGTACATGGCCTAATCTCCTGCTCCTGCCCAGACCCACCCAAACCCAAGAAAACACCCCTGACCAAGAAAACACCCCTGAAAAGTCCCTCTCACCTCCTCTAGAGAGACAACAGAGTCATTGTGGAGGTTGGGCAGGCGGATAACGATGTCCCTTGGCTCTGCCCCAGCCTCTGCCCGGATGGCTGTGGAGCTGTGGAGCATTTCCGTGCAGATGTCATAGTTCTCCAGGGCCTGCTCCATGTCTCCCTGGTCAAGGAATGGGGACAGGCGGGAACGCACTCAGCTGTGCCAGGTGCCTTATGGTCCGGAGGCACCATGCTTCTAGCCGACAATTGTTACCCCTCTAAAGGGGGCCTGGCACACAGCGGGAGTGCAGGAGAGGCAGGGCTTGGTAAACCAATGGATGAATAAGTGAATGAGTGATTCATACCACTAAGGACGGGTATCATAAGTCCACGTTGCTGGTAAAGACACTGACATTTGAGCAAGGCCAAGTATCTTACAAAAGTGCCAAATTAGAATCTGGGCCTGCCCCAATCCCAGAAATAACCGTGGCATCTTTTCCTCACTCTCCCAGGGGCACTGGGTATCACCACATACAAGGAGCTGGGAGCAGCCAGCCTATCCTGGCCCTCAGACTGGACACTGAGGGCAAACTGCCTGAGAATTCACATAAAATAGGGAAGGTAAATTGCTTTCTGGAAAAGTCTACATTCCTTTGTGCCCTTCTAGCTCTGCAATTACAAAGACATGCCCCACAGACTAGCTGGGAATTCATGAACAACCCCCTCTGGAGGGGAAGGGGGGAGAGGGGGCTGATTCCCAGGCAGCCAGCCACAGGCCTCACCTGCAGCGCCAGGAACCGAGCCTTCAACCAATAAACACGGACGACGAACTCCAACCAGCCGTCCTCAAACAGGTCCCGCTGGGAGGAGGCAAATGACAGCTGCAGGAGGTCGCCGAGGAAGTGGGTTCCCGGGAAATCAGGGCCGAACCTGCCGTTCACCACACCCGCAGGGCAGTTCCGAGGAGACACTGAAAAGCAGCCAGGCCAGAACGCCATCAACTTCAACAGCAAGGTCCAAACACCTGCTAGCCTGCAGAGGGAGCCCTGCGCCCTCGCGCAGCAGCCCCTGGCGCCGAGAGCGTCACAGCCCTCCGTGGTGGCATCAGAGAAGCCAAAGCAATCAGAGATGCAGACACGGAGAGCTGGGGGCACTGTTGTACAGACTCAACTTTGATCACCAGGAGTGATAATCCACATCCTCTAGAGGAAAATACGTGTGTGTGTGTGTGTGTGTGTGTGTGTGTAATCCACACCCTCTAGAGAAAAATACATGTGCGTGCGTGAAGCAGGGCGGGCGGGGGGATGGAGAGCCACATTGAGCAATAGTCGGGTCCACTAGAGTCACCCCAGACAGTGTTGGGGCTGGGGGGCATGTGGGGCCAGTGATGGGACCCAGGGCCTTGCCTGGGTTCTTGTGCTCTATTATCCAAGCCACCAGCCCCTTCTGGGAAAATTACTGGGGAAACGCAGTGCCAAGTGGTAGCCAGAAAACGAAGACGCCACTTTCTTCAATGCTTAGCAACAAAAAAGGCAGGCAGGTGGCTCCCTCTTGGGGGCTTATTCGGCTACTGCTCAAGTGTCTGGGCAACTTCTCTGGGACCCCAGATTCTCCCTGGCCTGACAAGACAACCCAAAGGATGTGTCTATACAGATGGGAGCCTGTTGCTGGTAAAGACACTCCAGCTCCCCTACTCCCCCTCCCCCAGGCTCCGAGGGTGCAGAAGACCCCTCCCGCCACAGCACACACAGCACCTACCTGTAGAGTTTCTGCCCTTGGTCAGCAGCCACTGGTCCAGCTGGAGTTCCATGCAGGAAAGAGACATCAGCATCATGTCCTGCACAGAGAGTCAGTGACACAAAAGTAAGAGAGAATGCACTCGAGGAACCCAGGATTCGCCCTCTGCCCACTTTCCCACTGCCTCAAGAGTGATTGATTAGCAGCCACTAGGCGCGTGGCTCTAGGCTTACACTAGAATAAGACTCGGGAGGAACAAAGCCCTGCCTCCAGTCCCGAGGGACTCCCCTTGCAGGTGCCTGGTGTCTGTTGGATACCACATCCACACTACAGCAGTCAACCCTTCCTGATGCGAGGGTCTGCTGCGTGATCACAGGGCACTGATGCTCAGCAAAAAGGAGGCACCTGCCAAGCATCCCACACCACCCACTGCTGCAGCTGTACCATCCCGCACCTGGTGCTGAGGTCCAACCCTCCCCCCCATCAGCACCATCTGATGCTGCAGCTCCTCCATCCCACACCTGGTGCTGAGGTTCCCCCCCCCCCCACACACACACACCATCAGCACTAGCTGATGCTGTGGTTTCTCCACTGTCCCACTCTAACCCTGAGCAAAAGGGGCAGAAACTACCCGGGGAGGGTCCCTGAGTGGTCACAGTGGAGCCATAAGTCCCAACAGGGCTGATTCCCAGGGCGCGAGTGGCCTGTCGCCCCTGAGCTGGGCGCCCTGGACCAAGTCCTCACGCTCTCAGTGCTCCCCAGTGCTCCTACTACCATCAGTCTTCCTCCTCCCCAGAGGCCCGAGCGCCTTGTTCTCCTGACCCTTGCAGGCAGAATGGGAGGGTCTGAGGTGCTGAGTGCAGGTGGCTCAGGTGCCTGTGGCATGGCCCCTTTCTCCTGGAGGTGGCCCAACTGCCTGGGGCACGCCACTTCACCTCTGCTCTTCCACTTCCTCATCTCTTTAAAATATTGCCAAGTTGCTGGCACCCTGAACAGAGTCAAATGTTCTATCTCCCCCACCAATGGGTTCCCCACCCCATGAACTGCTTTCATCAATCCCGGGAGCCCTCCCCCACTCAATTCCTGACTGTCATTTGCACTTCATTCCGTCAGCTCTGCTTCCAGATCTTTCCATCTCGCTGCCACTACCAACACTCACCAGGCAACAGCAATCTGACAGTCCTGTGCCCACTGAAGGGACCCTCTGCTCAGCTGAGGCACAAGCCAGGTCCCACACCCGCCTGCCTCAAACCTCCCGGGGCCCAAGTTCCAAGCCCAAAGCCGATACAGCCGGATAGGGTCAGCGAGGTAGGAGCCCATGGCCACAGGCGGCCGCCGGCCCACCTTGATGTGTTTGTTACTGCAGTCCCTCAGCAGTGGGTTGGGCAGGCTGGTGCTGTGCCGCCTCCAGCTGTGGTAGATGCTGAGCACGACCTCTGCCAGGCCTGGGGGCCACGCCAACAGGAACTTGTGGCCCATGCCCTTCAGGTAGCGCATCATCAGCTCCAGGATGCCCCCGTTCGTCAGGTTCTCCAGCAGGAATGCGTGCACGTCCTGCTTCTCTGTCCAGGAAGGGAGAAACAGCTGACTTGAGAAAGGTCTTTTCATGCTGGAGTTTTGCACGTGTTATGGGAGAAGCGGGAGGGTGGCAGTGGGGTGAGATGGGGACAGAGTGGGACAGAGCCTGGGGCCTCCCACTACGTGCAGTGCCCAGGGCAGACTACTGGGATCCGGTCCCGGTCCCCGCCCTCACCAGCTCTCTGAATCTCCAAGTCTGGGGTGGCCGTGACTGGCCCCTCTCTGTGTCCTGCAGCGTGCAGAGGAAAGGGCACAGAGCACGCACACTGGCCGGGTGACACACCTGGGCCTGCACAGGCACTGTCACCCCTCAGTGGATGGGCCTGTCAGCTAACCATGAACCTCGGAGTGAACACAAACCCAGAGATACCTCTGACCACACTCTTAAAGGCACCCCAGAAGAAACCCTGAGATGATGAGAGGGAAAGAGAAGAACACTGAAGTGTGAACGACCTCACGGCTTGATTCCTACCAGATTCCATGAACGTGGCCGAATCGAAAGACAGTCTGTGCGCGCCAATGCTGGGGAAGCTCTCCAGTTTGGCTTCTGACTGGACTTCATAGTTGTTAAAGGGGTCCTCTTCCTCCTCAGGGTCCAACTTTCTCAGCCTACGTAGGACACCCCCAATCACCAACCCACAACATGCATTCCTCCACGGGCACCCGAATTCTTCCAAGATAAACAAAGTCTGAGCCTGACAGACTAGGAGGGAGAGTCGAGTCCAGACCCCAGGCTGCAGTGAGGCTCTGCCTTTTCCCAGGCCTGGGAGAGCTGAGTCCTCACCCACCCACTCAATGAGCCGAGCTTATGCTTGTGCTACAGGGAGGATGCGGGGAGAACTGCGAGAATGTGGTTCCTGGGAGATACTTGAAGAAATGGTGGCGGCTGGACAGAGGTGTCACCGGGTTGGGGCTGACTCTCCCTTTCCTTCTCTCCTTGAGGTCTTGAGACATACCAGGCTCTCTTCCGGCTGTGCCTTTGTCCCTGTTGCTGTCCCCTGTCCCTTCCCCAGTGTCAGCACCAGCAGTGCCCGCTCTGGGCCTTCTGCCATTGCTCTCTCACGAAGGGCGCCTGAGACTCGTCCTTTTGTGTTCTGGGGCCTCCCCGGGACTGCCTAGGATCTACTCCATAGCCAGTACCTGAGGACCAGGTGGTGCCAGGTGTTAGTGCGGGGGATCGAGCCCCGACTTCTCACACAAAGCATGTGATCCAGCCCTTTGCACCGTGTCTTGGGCCTCCCTGTGACTCTTTGTCAGACAGTCTGGTGGTGGGTTCTGAGTCTGGCCTGTCTGCCACAAGAAGGTAAGTTCATGGCAGGCGGGCAGGAGGCACACCGATCCAAACTCTGGAGCTTGGCCCAATGCCCAGCATGTCCTCCCCGTAGCACAAACACAAGCTCCTGGTCACTGGCTTGCTCGCACACATCTGCCCAGCCCCAGACCAGACTCGCTCACTCGTACCTGCCCAGCCTGGACCCATACCATACTCGCTCGCTCCCTCACATCTGCACAGCCCAGGACCACATCATACTCGCTCACTCGCACCTGCCCAGACCACATCACATCATACTCACTCATTTGCATCTGCCAAGTCTAGAACTACACCACACTTGCTCACTCATTCGCATTTTCCCAGCCTGGGACCAACCATACTCGTTCACTCGCACCTGCCCAGCCTGGGACCACACTGTACTGCTCTTGCCCTAGTGACAGTTCAGCGGAGCTAACACAGGAGTCCTAAACCGAGAGCAGCAGCCACAGTACCTGGACGGCAAGAACTTCATCAGGAGCTCCTGGAAATCCACCTTCTCCTCTTTCTTACACTTGGTGTTTCGGACCCGGGCCGACCGCCTCTTTGCTGTCTCTCCACTCTCTTCTGTAATCTTCTTCCGCTTCACTCCTTTCTTGGATTTATCTCCCCCGGAAACGTCACCTTTGCAAAGAGAGCACGCCGAAGCCTTATGAGGGAGAAGGCTTGGAAAGCGAACCGCCCCGCATGTCTAGCCTCTTTTCCGACTCGAGCAGCAAGTTTCATCTTCTATGCTGCTTGAGGAGTTCCTAGCGCTTCTCCAACAACAGAGAGACCTGAGGAAAGTCAGGACACTCACCTCTCACATTTTTCTTGAACTTCCCCTAGCTACAGAACACCAAAGGCTCAGTCAAACATTGCCCCTGCTCCCAACCCTCCCACCAGCTGAAGGGCTTTGAGCCTCTGGGTCCTTGACAGAGCAAGTATCAGTGACAATGACTCTACCCATTGCCCAGGATCCTGTGCACCCACTGCTGTGAGCAGCTAAATCATGTGATGCCCAGAAAATGCAGAGATGTATCACATGTGGTGAAGTGACTTGTTAGAAACAATCCCATACACGTCACTTGGAACTTCTTTAATTGCCAGATACTTTTTTTTTCCTAGTGACACCAAACCAAGGAAAGGTTTGGGAACTCTCTCTCTGGAACTCTTTATACTCCAGTTATAACTGAAATCAATGAAACTATGCAAAAATAGTCTCCCACAGAGGGTGGCAACTTTGCTGATTACGCTGAAGCCTGAAAGTATGGAATACCATATGTGTGGAATACCAGCACACCAGGAGCTGCGGAACGGGCAAGCTCACGTATTGCTTAATGGAAAAGCCACCTCATCCAAACTTGTCGGCCACGCGTTATGCAGACCCCAGGAGCTGTTCGCTGGAGCCCTGAGCCTTCCCACCAGCAGAGTCGCTGCAGAAGCTGGCCTGAGGAGCAGCAGCCCCGCACGAGGCTAAGGGGAGCCGGGGGCTCTCGCTCGAACAAGCACCTCTGGAGGTGTTCGGGCCCCAACTCCTGCTCAGCAAAAGAGGTCTCCCAGGAGCCGCCCGCAAGAGCCCACTCACCAGAGGGAATGCCGGTCTCCAGCAGGCTGGCACTGTGCAGCGGGAAGCCGGCCGTGGCCACGGGGGTGTAGGAGAGCACGGGCTCCACCACAGTCACAGCCGGGTTGGCGCTGACGGGGCTCGGCTGGATCACTCTGACAGGCGCCACTGCCACCGAGGAGACCACCGGCTGACTGGGGTCCTGATAGTCCGACAGGTCAATTCTCCGGCCCAGGCTGGGCCGCGGGGGCTCGCACGTGGTGAGGTGGTTGTACATGGCCAACAAACTCTCCCCAAGGCACTTCCAGCTGCAAGAAGAGGGTCACCACACTTGGTCAGCACCTCTCGGGGGATGATCCAAGCACAGGGACAGGTGCCATTCTGGGGCGGGGAGGACGGGTGGTGGGCCTGGTTTTGTCATCGTCACTACTGACAAAAATCTCAAGGCCAGCACAGCTGAGGCACAGCCCTGGAGTAGAAGCAGAAGTTGGGGTGGGGCCCTCCTGGCAAAAGGCATGGAGTGTCCCCGCCTCCAGACGGAACCTCACTCAGCTCAGTGGACACTCACTTCAGTAAGGGATGGGCCAAGCACAAGCCTGTGAGGAGGCCTTGGCACCACATGGGCCCTAGAGCATCAAGTACTGCGAGCTGTGGCCCCCAAACAAAACAAACAACAAACAAAAAACCAAGTAAACAAAACACCTGTGGCAATTCTCTCCTACCATGAGTCCAATCTGGCTTTTAGGCGGAGAGAGCAAGCACGAAGCCCCACCTCACGCACCCCGACCTGGGCTGGCCGCTGGGGAGAGCACGCAGACCAGGGTAGGGTTATCATACACGGCGTGTCAGGGGTAGGTGTGGGGCTGTGTGTTTTACGACAGCGTGTGGCGTGGACGGCCACCTTGTCTGCCACTCTGCATCACGCCTGGGCTGCATGCTATGCTGTGCTGAGCGTGTATATAGGCCTGTCCTGACCCCTCCTGAATGGCAGCTTCTCAAGCTTTTGGGCGAAAGCCCCAATCTGACGCCTCATGGAGAGGGACGGCCCAGCCACATCTCACAACCCCCACACCCCCACCCTGCAGCTTTCTTTCCTCCTAGAAACGGCTCCTCTCGCCTCCCTGCAGGCCTGCACACAGGCTGAATCCTGTGGGGGTGCTGGGTGCTGGCTCTGCTCTTGCCCTCCCTGTGCTCCAGCTCAGGGTCACTACAACCCCACAGGAAGAGGAACTGCCTGCCCCGACTTCAGGGACATCCCCACGTCCCTGGGGCAGTCCCACCTGTTGTCAGCGTTTGGCCAAGGTTAGTTTCCTTTTCCCCTCTGAGAGGCTGTCAGGAAGCCCAGCAACAAAGCAGGGCTTAGGCTGGGCACACATCAGAGAGGCAGGCCTGTTTGGGCAGTCAGCAGTGCCCAGCCAAGCTACCCGCACAGATTAGACTCTGCATCTCCAGCCCAGCCCAGTCAGCACCCCTGAGACCAGGTGACGTACGTGAAGAAGGGGATGGGCTGCACCAGCTTCAGGTCCGGCTCCTTCTCCCGGACGGTCAGCGCCTGCCTTTTCTTGCGCAGCCCCAGAGCCTCGTCCACAATGGCCTGAGTCTCGGCCGCACTCACCGACACATCGTGGATGGACATGTCACTATCGGCATGTAAGAAAGGGAGAAATTACACTGTTACCAGGCAGAGCCAAGGCTGAAATTTTACAGCAGGGGTGCAGTTAATACCCTTTCATCTGCATTAATTCTTCCAACAAATAAAATAACCACTTCAGTCTGGCCTCCACGGGACAGTAATTAGCATTTGCAATACCCACATCCACTAGAAGTGACTAATACCCTTTGTTCCTTCTATTTAATTCAGAATTGAACAAAAGGTCTTCATGTATAAGAACAGTAGCACAGCAGTATCAGAAACACCACAGGAAACAAACTCATGTTCTCAGTTACGTACAGAACATTTTAAAAAGGACTTAGCTAGCCCACCCTTGACCAACCTAACCGAGAGCCAGCGGGTAGCCATGCCCACTGAAACCCACAATGCCCCCAAACCACAGGAAGGATGGGAATTTAAGGTGGCATGCCTATTCCCCCAGACACAGCTCCGCCCTAGGAGGCCAGCAGTGCCCACCCCATGTCCAAGAGCTCTTGAGGTGCCCAGCAGGGACTCCACCAGCTTATAGACTTAGCCGTTTATCTCTCTATAAAAAGTTATTCCCTCAGCACAGCTCAGAACAAGAGGCAGAGTTCCACGGGGACCAAACAATGAGATGCACAACCAAAACCTTCCGACGGGCGAGTCCGGGTTGGAGATACCAGAGAGCGAGGCTGACCGGGTGGGACAGCTGGGGAAGGCCAGCAGCCAAACGTTGAAAAGCTGCAGAGGAGTGACCTGGGGCAGACTATGAGGAGGAGCACAGGCTGACAGGTGGAAAGGCAGGAAGCTGGCATGGCAGGTGCAGGCACCGTGAGGGCCAGCACGCAGGGATGGGACTGAGCATAGGGGTCAGGTACGGAAGCCGCCAGGGGTTGGGGCAACACTTCTCCTCAAGGGGGAAAAGCGGGAGGTCGGAGAATAGGGATGGGGGGCAGGGGGTGCCAGGCTAAGAAAGAATGCCTGGCCAGTGCTACTGAGCACATGGTCTATCAGTTCAGTCGATGTATGTCTGGGACACATGACTTGAGCATCACTGAGAACAAAGCCTTGGAAAGAGGGAGCAGCAAGCAGGCTGCAGAGGGGGGCAGGTAGGGGAGAGAGAAGGACGGCAGCAGTGGGCAAGGAGGCAGAGAGAGAACAGGGCAGGCACGGGCCTGTCCACGAGGATGCCACGGGGAAGGAAGTCCAGGGGCCTGGGAGAATGCGTGCAGACCCTCCCTCCCCATACCCCAATCACGTGTTGTATTAGTGTGGGGGTGGGGGAGGCGGTGGCACTCACCACTTGAGGAACATCCGGAGCGAGTCCTTCCGGAGGCAAGGCTGCTCCTCGAAGATCTTCTCCTTGAGGACCAGCCCTTTGCTGTAGCGGCAATCCTTCTCCAGAGCTTTGCAGATAAAATACAGACAGGCTGGTGGGGAAAGAAAAGGAATAAGCGCTGAGTGTGCACGCCAAACCTCTGGCCTTGCCAGGTAACCCCAAGAGCGTGCCCCGCTCTGGACTCAACAAAAATGCACAGCGAGCAAAACGAGATGCACTGTGGCCCATCAATCAGGAAAGACTTCAGAAAAAATACTGGTGTGGACAGAAAAAAAAAAAATTGAATGAAAGGAGACCCAAAGTGGCCCTTTCTGGGGTTCGACAACATGTCTTGGCGTGTTTCTTGCAGGTGAAGTGACAAGCCCCAAACAACACACTTGTTTCTCAGTGTGCATGTGCCGGGGTGTGGCTCTACCTTGACAGCTGTATCATGACCTTCCCGGGACCTGGTGCTAGGTGCCTTTTGAAAGGGGTGGGAGAGGCCTCTGAAAGGCAGCCCTCCAGACTTCAAACTGATGGCGTGCACTCCTGAGCCCGCCCGTCCTGAAAAGAGTAACTGGGGTCAGTGGGCCCAGCCCACCCAGAGCAATGGGGGCCGCCCACAGGTCTCAGAGCTCAGACCTCCACAGAGCGCCCCTGGTGGCCGCCTCTGCTCTGGCCTGGGGCGGGGGGGGGGGGGGGGACACAAGGACGCTGACACCCCAACAGTGCCTGCCTTGGTGGCTCGTCAGGCATGCTGCTGCTCTGTGAAGGTATGGGCCACAGTGAGAAACAGAGAGGTTCCCACATCAGATAGGCCACACTGCAACTGCTGGTTGGCTGGACAGCTAATTGTGGAAACAAGCCACAGGATGGAACAGCGCCAGGATGAGGTGATAGGACCGGAAGGGAAGACCACCCAGAGAGCATGCTACTTGTTCCTCCAACAGGAGCAGCACATCTCAAAGGAGCCAGATGAAAGCAAGCAGAACAAAGCCGATATGTGAAGACAGAATCAGCCTCAACTTAGCTTCAAGCTCACCCAAGCCGAGCGCCTTCCTCTCTCCAGAAACCTGAGCACCCAGGAGAAGGCGTTCAAGTGTAGTGACTCACTTGTATAATCGCTGAGGGTGTACAGGACCGTGATGAGGTTGTCCAAGCAGGGCCAGTGGTCGGGATTGCACCGCAGCCCTTCCTCAAAAGCGTGGCGAGCCAGGGGTACCCGGATGAGCCTCAGGGCCACATGGCCAATTTTGTACCAAAGGTTGACATCGGTGGAGTCCAGCATGACGGCCTGCAATCAGCACGAGCAGAGGGCACATGCTCTGTTGGCCTTCTCCCTGAGCAGACGCCCTCTGGCCGGGGGACACAGCACCAGCCCAGCTGCTCACACTACCAGGAAACTGGCAAAGAGAAGTTCCCGTGGGCTGGGGATGCGGGTTCCGGGCATGCGTGGGGCCCTGGCTTCCGTTCCTAGCACCTCAGGCCCTGCCTGCCCCCAGGACTGCCAGGCATGACCCCCCATGACTACCAACAAAGTAACACAGACCTACTGAGTCCAACATTTTTTTGCCATACTCTGTCACTCTGAACCCTGCCTTCCTTACACTTTTGAGAGGTTAAAAGAAATTTAAACAGAAACTAAAATAAAACTGGAGAGTCTTGTGGGGTTCTAGATAACAAACAGGCTCTAGTGAGAGACCTCAGTCCTCATCCCCACCCTGTACTGACCAGGGGGACCAGGGGGACCACTGAAAGGAGGGTAATCAGATCTCGCTGGCCTGGGTCTGAGATCAGGCAGGCATGAAAAGCCTCGAGCACTGTGCCTGGTACAGGGGCAGTGGCCACAGCGATGAGTGCAGCAGAGACAGCACAGCAGGGTGCCCTGCACAGGGTTCTACTTAGTACCAGCCTAGGTGCCAATTCATTCCCTCTCCAGGATCCTCCTCCTCTCTGCTGCTCCCGAGACACTGTGCAGAACACGGAGGCGTGAGACCCTTTCCCTGTCTGCAGGGGTTCTAAGGGGTGAGAAGGGTGCAGGCCACCTCCTCTCCAGGCCTCTCCAGATTTTCTGCGGCACCCCCCGGGAACCAGGACTCAGGCTTCACAGCTTGGTGACATGCCAGCGCACACCCTCTTTTTGGCCCCCAAGACCACAACTTCACATCCTGCCCAACAGCCAAAACCACACCTCCAAGTAGAATTCCATGGCTGTCTCCAGGTCCTCCCGCTGTGCCGCCAGCTGGGCCAGATTCTTATACGTGGAGTATTTCAGCATCAGCCCAGGATGCTTCAGCCCCTCTTTCTCATCGCCAGACGAAACTGCCTGTGAACAAAACAGAGAAGCAGAGGTGACACCACGACCCCAAAGCAGGACACCATGCATGGCCTCCCAGGAAACAGAAGTGCTACCCAGGCATTCTGAGAGGGCCAAACACACAGAGATAGGGCAGACTAGTGCAAGGCAGCTTTCAGGCATGTGGGTCCCAGGGAGGGGCCTCCCCAGCACCACCAATCCCACCAGCACCACGCCTGGGCCAGCAGCTCATCAGGCAAGAAGGGGTAGTGTCAGGGTGAGAAAACACTGTCAGGGAGGCACCAAACAAGACCTGAACTTCACCCACACTACCAACTCAGCCGCCCCTTCCCGTCCTGAAGCAGGAAGAGCATGGGATTAGAAGCTGAGAGGCTGACCTCCCAACTCTGTAGTAATCACACAAGAAGCTAACAAAAAAGCTAGTGTCCGAGAACTTCTGTAACGTAAAGATGTAGTTCAAGTGAAAGTCCATAAAGCCAGGAGACCGTACGCAGGCTCTCACAGAGTGGCTGCATGGGCAGGACCGTTGGCACAGCACCAGCCTGGCGTGTGAGGCTCAGTGACCCCCCCTCCCCCACTGCATGCTGTGCTCCCAGCACCAACATACTAATTTTTTTTTCCAAATAAATTCATTTCACTCCAGTCTTTGTGACAACTCTTAGAAAAATCTTACAACTCCTAAAGAAACCCACTGATTAGAAAAATTGCTCCAATCGCCAGGCAAAAAATAAAGAACTTTCTAACAGAAAAACCAATGTAAAGTTCTTGTCAGGGGAGTCACGCCTCAGTCTTCCCTAAAATGGGTTCATGGGCTGATCTTCAAGTTTGGAACAGGTACGGTCTGAGCACATGGAAGCTTCAGGAAGCTTCAGGAAACAAACAAGAAACCGTCCCTCGAGCACAGACGGAATCCCATCAAGAAGGCTGAAAAGAAATTTCAGGTGCTGAAGAAATAAGACAGGAGAAGGGCACTAGCCTTACAGCACAGCCTAAGCTGGCTGACAGCACTGTATGTGACACCCTGAGCACTGCCAGGGCTCACTCCTGAGCACAGAGTCCTGTCAGGGATGGCCCCAAATCCACACACCTTAAAAAAATAATAATCCTTCAAACTAAGTCTCATCCATTAGCTTTTACTGTCTAATAATGCACAAAGAGAAAAACCTCCGAGAATAAGCTGAAGAGCGCTAGTCTCCGGGTGCCTCTGTGCCTCTAGGTCTTGAACTGTTTTTAAAATTGGTGTGGACAGGCATAGCGGCTGTTCAAGCTGACTTCAGAGATGAGATCGTCAGTGACACGTCCAGCTGCCACAGCAGCTCTTGTAACCAGCCTCCACCTAGCTGACTGGCTGGACTCAACACTACTCTTATCCTCCATGAGAAGTTCATGCATGCCCATGAGAAACAATAAGCACCCCCCTTCCCCTCATCCAGAAACACTCGCAGAGCATGCCCACTAGCTAAGTGCTCCGGGGCCATTTATAACAACTGTGTGTGAGACTAACTAGATCATTTAGTTTACTACTAAGTATGCTACAACTAGATGAATGTGAAATAAAATATCACTGTAGATTTTCTGTACTTCTCAATTTTATGATGACCACACCTTGTTTCTAAGCAAAGGGGAAGGGGGTTCCACAGTCTTTTAAGATGGGAAGTCACTGGCACATGGACACACCCCCACCTCCAAGGCAGTCCCCTTCCTATACTGGTTCCATACCTGGTCCCCGCAGAATGCTGGCTCACCTGCAACCTGCTATTCTCAGACCAGAGCTCAGCGCAGTGCCACCCACTCCTATCTCTAAGGCAGCCCGGCCAGAGCAGGAAAAGCCACCCCTGAGAGGGGCCCGCAATGTCTGGGGCTCAGTAAATGCAGAGAATGCCACTTCTCCTCCCTCGGCCCTCACTCGGTGCCTACTGAAAGGGAGGGGACAGATCATCGTGCCCTTCATTCCCGTAGCCCTAATCCCAAGGCACTAAACCAGCGCAAAACAACCTTGCAAGCAGGAGCAGGAACGGTGGCTCAGAGGGTGGAGCACTGAGCACCACCGGGAGCAATCCCCCACCTCCACCCCCAAGCACAGAGTTGGGAGAAGCTCCCAAGCACCAACTGGTTTAGCCCACAAACAAACAAACAGTTCTTCCAAAGCCACACAATTAGTGATTGGAAGAGAGGGCCTGGGTAAGAGAAGAGATGCTTTGTGCTGACAAGTAGCATGTGCCTCATCAGTAATAGGAACCTAGCAGTGGAGGGGCTTAACACACAAATATCTGCCTCCAAGATTTGTAGGAGACTGCCCAGCCAAAGGACAGAGCTCCAGAAAATGTAGCCTGCCTGCTCCTTACTCACAGGGCATCTGTGTTGGTGCCCAAGTTGGAAACAAAAGCCTTTCCTTCTAATGAAATACACTTCTTCTTAAGTCAGTTTCAGGTTGAAACCTACTCCCAACCAACTTCACCACCAGCACAGTGCCCAGCCGGGAGCCAGGCCCACCTGCCTGCCCCTCCCATGTACAATATCTCCTCAACAGGGCTTTGGGTTATCCATGGTGCATCTAAACAGGTTTCCTGAGCTTATGGCACCTATTAAAATGTGTTGCCAAGAGATCATTAGGTATCAGAAAACTCAAATACTTAATATAACACTTTTCATCTTGGGGCCTTTGAGCCATCAATAGCTCCCTAAGTCTCTGCTTCCATGACTGTAAAATGAGACAACACTCCATACCTCATAGCAAAGTGGAGGTGAAGATAAAGATACAAAAGTAGCTGACACAAAGCTCCTACTATGACAAGGAAACGGCCCTGCTACATGCACTACTGGTTCACTCAACCCCACAGCAAGCCAATGAGGCTGAGAGGGGAAATGATCCAAGCAACAAGTAGGAGGTAGAGGGCTGGAATGGAGCTCAGCGGTACAGCACTCGCCTTGCATGTGTAAGGCCCATGGGTTACACGTGCACCTTACACGTGCAAGGTATAAAGTTCAATCCCCAGCACCACAAAATAAAAAATAAAAAAGGTAGGAGGACAAAGGTCAGGATCAGAATGCCTGGTCTAGGGCACCCCAACGGCCAGCTGGTACCTCACCTCCCGCAGCAGACGTGCCTCCAAAAGTTCATGGTAGGCTTTGGCAGACTCCTCGAACCGGTCGTGTTTCTGCAGATCCAAAGCCTTGTGATACAAGGCAAAAGCCTCTGCTTCCTGTGAACCAAGACAAGGCACGTTTCCATAAAAACACATGAAGCACACTGGTCTTTTTTAAGTCAAAAGTCTAAGGAAGGAGAGCTGTAATCAAGGCTATGTATGCTAATTGTCAGCTGGACCCTCTGCAGTGGTAATAATGTTTGTATTCCACCTCCCATCATCAGACAGAAACCTTAAGGATTCCCCAGAAGATAGAAACAACACAGGCACAAAGCAACAGCAAATGCTGCAGAGACCCAGGGTAGAATCGTCTCAGTGCCAAGGTTATGAGCTCAATTGGTTGGAAGAGTGCTCACAAAACCAGGGTAACCCAGAGCACCAAGGGAGTATGGACGGACTCCACTGTTTTCTGTCCACCCCCTGCCCAACACTGTTGGAAGATGGACAACTGGGCAGGCTGAGCCCCACTGAGACACCTCAACGACGTGGGACAGTGGATGAAGAGGTTTTTGAGAGGGCCCCACGCTATCCTGATTTCTCCTGTAATGGGGTAGATGAGTATTCATTTCAGTGAAAGCAAACATAAGCACAAACCCATGTTATACAGAGGTAGGGCAAGGTAGAGAGATAGAGAAGGAGAAGGAGGGAGGGAGAGGGGAGTGAGGGATGGAGAGATGGATAGATGGATGGACAGATGAATGGGGGAGGGAGGGAGGGAGGGAGGGAGGGAAGGAGGGAGGGAGGGAGGGAGGGAGGGAGGGAGGGAGGGAGGGAAGGAAGGAGGGCAGGCAGGCAGACAGGCAGGCAGGTCAAAATGGAAATGATGCTAGACCTCACGGTAGAAAGGAAGCACCAAAATTTAGAGAGCTGAAGTGGAACCTGGATCTGCCACTGATCTCCACAAGATTCAGTCCTGCAGTTCCCCACAAGGGACTCTCCTCACACTGAAAAGTGAGGGCACCTCAGCGGAGACCCCTGAAGCCCATCTAGCACCTGTTTTGTTGGGTTCACCAGGAAGGCAACTCCCACAGCCTGCACAAAGAATGGAATGGCACAGAAAGGCCGTTCCCTCCCCTTCCCTAGGGCTGACCTGGCCCAAACTGACACAAACACAAAGGACACAGTTCCTCTGCGGTGTGAGAGTGCCTAGGAGAAGCAGGGCAATGTGACAGGGATTGCTGGCGATGCTCCACAATGAAATCTCTCAAATCCCATTAAGGAGACAAGGGAACACATTTAAAACGAGGTCTGTTCTGTACAGAGATCAGAAGCAAGGTCTACATGCAGAGGAAGAGCACAGATCACAAACCTGGGCCTCCTTCGTCTGGGTTTTGTGACTTTTAAAACTTCCTTCATGATCATCCTCAACTGTGGAGCTGGCATTCAAGGCTGCAATTCGAATCTAGAAAGGAGTTTAAGGGAAAAGAAGACTTGCTTTTGGTTGTTACATGTCTCTCTTTTTTAAAATTGTTTTTTAATTGAATCATTGTGAGCTACAGTTACAAAGTTTTCATGTTTGAGTTTCAGTTATACAATGATCAGATACCCATCCCTCCACCAGTACACATTTTCCACCACCAATGTCCCCAGTATCTCTCCCACCCACCCCCCGTTCCCACCCCTCCCCCTGCCTCTATGGCAGACAATTCCTTCTTACTCTCTCTCTACTTTGGGGCATTATGGTTTGCAATACAGATACTGAGAGGCCATCATGTTTGGTCCTTTATCTACTTAAGCACAGATCTCCCATCCTGAGCAATCCCTCCACCCATCACTGACTTGTCAGATGTCTCTTTTATAACCCACAATGAATACAATTCTGCTCTGGCACGTATGTTATTCTGCCTCCAACAACTATGTCCTCCTCAGAATGTGGGGAATCAACTAAACGTGATCACTGAGGAAAAGAGTAAGAACCAGAACATTTCTAGAGGGATCATCCCAAGTATTTGAAAAGTTTGTCCTGGATACCATCCACTGCAAAGGACACAGAGCCTAGGGATACCCAAGCAATAACCCAATACAGTAAAGACCCAGGCATCAGGATAACAGATTCCAACAAAGTGTCAATGTTGTGCTGTTGTAGCAACTGTGGGATGGTACAAGCCGCCACTTTGATACAATGTCAAGCACCCACACCCTCAAAGGCAACAACTCTCCCAAGAGACAGGATGCCAGAGGAAAAGCCTCCAGGGAAAAACCCTCCTGCCCCAGGAATGAAGTAACAAAAGAACAAGAATGGGACACTAGAATACAGTAGCCAATAGGCAAGCATCCATCCTTACCATTCTGAGTGCTGAGTGCTCAGTGCCGAGAACTGGGAGAGCTGCTTCCCTTCACTGGCAGGGCCTGTGCCAGTCCACGAGTCTCCTACATGAAAGTGGGCGACAGAGAGAAGGCCGTGAAGAGCCCACCACATCAGGTGCCCTCAGGGAGCCAGACACCAGGCCATGGGCCTCCCAGGCTCCAGGCACACAGGCAGCTGGTGAGCAGCTGCCTCCTGTTGGTTACGTGGGCAATCACCCAGTAAGCCCTTATGTCCCCTGGCCAGAGAAGCTGACCTCGAGGGGCAAAGCTCCGGGCACCAGAAACTCCAAAGAACAGAAAGACTGAGACCAACTCTGGCCCCCCAGAGCACAATGTTCGATAAGGCAATGGAAAGAAATGTTTACTATAAATAATTTTTTTACAAAAGATGAACATAATTAAAAAAAAACAACAACAACACAGGTAACTTCTAAGGGTGTCGAGCAAGGTGCAACCCTGTAGCCCCCCGCCCAGCACAGCTGAAGTCACCCTTGTGGGCCCTGCTAAGCCTGAGGAAAGTCACATTCAGTGTCGGGCTCAAGCACTGAACCGTCCTGTCCTGCTAGGAACAACCCCAGGTCTCCTAAGAATTATTTGAGATTTCCCCTACATGCCCCTAAGCCCCACTAACTTTACTCCTTACCTGGGCAAGTAGTGTGATATGTGGAACATTTCTTGGTAACGCTGTTGCGAGGGCCTGTGGCCGTGGGGATAGAGGGTCACACTGCAGGAAGTAGACTCAGGAGGAAACAGCAGAGATGCTGGAGTTCTGGCCTGTTGGTAGGACACCAAATAAGTCAGGGAGGGCCAGAGGAGGAGACAGAAGCTAGAGGCGCACTGCAGGCAGTGGGAATGAGCCCTGACAGACAGAAGCATGTCCGGCTGGTGTAAAGAAAAGGACAGTTATGGCTATAACCCTCGCAGCTTTAGAGCAGGATTTCTGGAGAGGGCTCACACACGGGCTCTGCATACTCCAGGGGTCTTTCTCCTTCATAGAGAAAGAGGACTCAAACCTCCCCTAGGCTGATAGCTCTTAAATCTCCTGGGATCTACTTTGGGGGGGGGGGGGCAACGCGAGGTAGGGGGACTAAGTCTGGACACTACAGCTTCACTATAAGGCCTGCCATGATGGGCACTGAGACAATCATACAATTTTTATGGGCGGGGGTATTGAAACTACAATCAATATTAAAACCCAGCACCTAGGCCGTTATTCTCAAAGACATGCACATATTAACAAGCATCACGATGTGAGAAAGGTGGTGCCACTGCTACGGAAAAGAGTATGGAAGTTCCTCAAAACTTAGATCTCAAATGACTACAAGACCCAGCAATTTCCATTTCTCACAGATACACAAAAGAAGAGACTCCACGCCAGGCTGTTTTCACTCGAGGCGTTCCAGAGGGGGGCAGGCGAGAACCCTCCTCGCCCCAAGACCCAGCCCCGGCAGTCAACCTCCACAAGCCACCACCCCCAGGCTCCAGGCAGCCTTCCAGACCACGCGGATACTTCCTACCCATTTTCCATAATTACCACACCATGTTTGATGGAGTTCGGACAGCAGGCAACAAATTATAGAGAGAAATATATATGTATGCCTCTCGGAGAGCTCGGCAAGCTACCAAGAGTATCCCGTCCACATGGGCAGAGCCTGGCAAGCTCCCCATGGTGTATTCGATATACCAAAACCTGTAACTATAACAAGTCTCATTCCCCTGACCCTAAAAGAACCTCCAATCATTTGGAAAGATGAGTAAGGAGAGGCTGCTAAAATCTCAAGGCTGGGATGAATAGAGACGTTACTGGCACCGCTCGAGTAAATCTAGATCAACAGGATGACAGTGATACAGTGATACAACAAAAGAACTGAAAGCAAGGGTAAGATACTGTAATTCAGGAAGAGCAAAGTTAAGTAAAAGGCCACAATATACCCAATTAGCCTGACACCCATCCATCCACAGGTTTTTCACCCGCTCTCCCGCTCTCCCTCGCAGGAGGTAGACCCAGGAGGAAAGTCTTTCTAGATACCAGCTAAATCCTTAGGAAGAAGAAAGCAAGAGGAGAACCCAGGGACTGCTGAGAGACGGGTCCCTGCCTAGGCGCAGTGGGACAACATGCTGGGCTGGGCAATTCCTGAAGGAATTCTAAAGATAGCATGCCTGCTCCCTGCCCACCACTCAGAACACAGAGACACCCCCAACCACTGCTGCCATCACAATCACTGGCCTGTGCCTTCACAGGGGCTCCTGTGTGCCCAGAACCAAGGTGGGTGCAATCTCCATGCTGACAGGAGACGCATAGTCCTGAGACTGACCAGTCAGAGGAAAAGATGGTAGACAGGTTCCGAGCCCTAAATGTGTCCAAGTCCTAGCCTGTCTCTGCCTATTCTCACACTCTTAGAAAAAAACTTCCCCCAGATATGATTAGCGGGACCAAGAGATCCTTAAGGAGTCCATGGTGAAGAAGAGGAAACAGAATTTTCAAACTTTCTAATTCTTGGAGCCGGAGAGATAGTACAGCAGGTAGAGTGCTTGCCCTGTGCAAGACAAACCTGGGTTTGATCCCCAGCATCCCATATAGTCTCCTGAGCTCCTCCAGAGCACAGAACCAGGAGTAAGCCCTGAGTACCTGCAGGGTATGGCCCCTAAAGAAAAACTTTCTAATTCTTTTCAGAATTGTTCCATGCTAAAAGTCAAGCTATTTCTCCACACCAAAAAAAAAAAGAACATCTATATTAACTTCAATATATTCTGCTCTATAGTCCATCCCGGTGTTTAAAAGACACGTTTGTGTTATCTTACTTCAATGACTCCAAAGAGGGTAAAACTAGAACAGGTACAGCCACAGGTGCAATTGGGAGACGCTTTCTCTTCATTCATTTAACGAAGGTAGATTTCCAGGGAAGTAATGTCATTTTTCTTCTGAAAATGGGACAGAAGTTTGGGGATCTCTATCTCACTTAAATCTCTATCTCACTCTCTCTCAGAAAGACTTGTGAATCCCCAAAACAATCCAAAAAGATCAATGAAACCAAGAGCTGGTTCTTTGAAAAAATAAACAAGATTGATAGCCACCACTCGCAAGACTCACAGAGAGAGAGAGAGAGAGAGAGAGAGAGAGAGAGAGAGAACCCTAAAAAAAATCAGAAATAAAAAGGGGGACATCACAACAGAAACTACAGAAAGTCAAAAGATCATCAGAGATTACTTTGAGACTCTGTATGCCAAAAAACAAAAGAACCTAGAAGAAATGGATAAATTCCTGGATTCCTGTAACCTTCCAAGGCTGAACCAAGAAGACTTGGAATACCTAAACAGACCTATCGCTATCGAAGAAATTGAAACAGTAATCAAAAGTCGTCCCCCAAACAAAAGTCCAGGTCCAGATGAATTTACTAGTGAATTTTTCCAAACCTTTACAGAAGACCTATTGCCTGTCCTTTTCAAGCTTTTCCAGGAAATTGGAAAAAACAAAAACACTCCCAGTTTCTCTGATCACTCTGATACCAAAAGCAGAGACAGCACAAAAACAATACAGGGGGTATGGTGCCACCAGCAGGTCAATCTATACCTGTGAGGCAAGTATATCAGCAGTCTGATGGTGCCTTCAGGCTTCTAGATACCCCAAAATTGCTGCTGTGCCTTTGGTCAGACCCCAACAACTTGGGGCCAAGTTTACCAAGAAAGTAAATGGCCAAAAGTTAGGTATGTGTGAGACATACCCCCAAACCACCTCCAGCTCAGCTATATAATTGGAGGCAAGGCCTCTCTGGTTCCTGATCAAACTGCTTAATGGTCATGATCCCAGAGACTCAGAAACAAATCTCGGAACCTAGTGGCTTTTGGCAGAGATGTGTCTGGTCCCCGCAGTAGGTTACTGGCGTCGGGCCACCCCAGGTGGGAATAGATTTCATGCTGTGGCCTTTTCCCCCTGGCGGCTCAGTGGCCACCATCTTCCAGAGTCCATTGGACAGTCAGGTTTGGGCCCACAATGACGAGACACACGGGGCCTCACGGGATGCGGGTGGAGCCAGCCCTTTCCTCCCCACCCCAACAAGACTCTGAGTCGCTCTCTGGCTCCTGATCAAGCTGCTT